AGGCACAGACTTTACGCCAGCTTCAGACAATTTGGCAGTTTCCCACTTGACGTGATAGCCTGAAGGGTATCTGACAAGATCCACGATAATTTCCAGCATGAGCGGCGGCTCTTCCAGGTCTTCGGATTCAGATTCTGTGCCTGTACCAGGAGCATCCATCTCCATGTGAAACGTTTCGCTTCTTTGTGGGTGATCCGCCAACCTCCCACCTCTTTTCGCGCGACTGGTTTCCGTCCAACCAGATCCAAACTCGAATTCAGCAACAAACTCGTTGCTGCCGTGATCAAAGTCCTGACTAATCACCCGCAACTTTTCGTGCCGCTGCTCTCCATGTGAGATTTCATCTCGAGCGAGTAATCCAAGAACGTATGGTGGGATTCCATGGCTCTTCAAATACGCCTCCACATTTGCGGGATCTTTGGGTGCGCTTCCGACCATGAAGCCATAAATAGCCTGCGGAACCGAACCCCCCAGGTCTACTTGGTAGTACACAGTGGCTCTTGTAGACGGTATTGGGTGCTGCTGCGTGGCTTCGTACGGATCTATGGGTTCAAGAATCCATCCACCGATTGCAAGTGTCCCTCTAACCTTGGACCCTGCCTCTGCAGCAACGGCAGAAAGTATCTCAGGGGATAAGAGTGATTCAGGGACGCTAGTAGCCGCAGTGGCAATCGTAGGTGATGATGTGTTTGGATGGATGGAAATGACTTTATCAGCTGATATTGTAAGGAGATCCCGTCGGCTTGTTTCAACGATTAGAAAGTATCAGCGGCCGGCACGCAGATCATATGGCGTACATGTACTAGTAATTACCTCATGGGGAAAAATCCTTTCATCGTCAAGTATGCCACACGGGTACTCTCTCCACAATACTGCATCTGTTTTCCGTCTTCCAACAAGTCGTCCCCTAAAATGACAAACTCTTATTAACCAATCGCGCAAAGAATATGAATTCATTTTCATACATACAAATCTTGCGACACCCAAACGCTTTGATCACGGAAAAGACTTCCTCTGGAGCGAACCCTTCAACCACCTTGGTTCCTCGCATGATAGGCATTTGACCAATTGCCGTGGGTGTCTTGCGGTGAATAGATAGTCCAGAGCGTAGTGCCGATACCAGCGTCCAATCACGCGTGGATTTATGCAGCTGCAATAGCTTCCCCAAAGCAGCGTTGCCAGCCCCTCTGAGCTCCTTATCCTTATCAACCGTCGGTATTGGTTCAGGCACTACAGCAGGGCTGAGAACGCTTGGCATTTCTGCCGAGAGCCCTTCTTCAGCTTCCGCGTTATCTTGCGCCTGCGCCAAGTCAGTTAATGAAGACCAATTCCCTAGTCCTCCTGGTACGAGGGCTGACATCGAAAGACGTCCTGCTGGAGATTCCCACCCCAGACTTTTGGTGGGGAAGCCCACCGGTGAATGGGAACGCGGTGTCGGAATGGATACGGGAAGTGAGCCCACAACCAGCCCTCCAGTATCAAAAGCCTCTGAAAATTCATTGACTTCTACCGATTGTCCATTAACCAGTATTCCGCTTCCTGGCAGCCCCTTTCGAACTTTTACGACAGTTTCTGCGTCTTGGGGGCGTTTGACACAAAGGATTGCCCCGTCATCCCCGTACTTTCCGCTTTTCCGAACGCTGACATCAACCTTGCACGTTCCCGAAACAGCTTCGACGTCGACATTGCCCCCAGACCATGTCTTGAGGTCTACTCTGATTCTCAGATATCGATCTTGGTCTAAATCCGCGGTGTTTACGTCTCGCTGTTTGGGGGTTACCGCGAGTTCATATTGGCCCTTCTCATGTGAATAATGTACCCGGCTGATCTCACAACTTCCCAATCCTCCAATCACATAAGGTGGAGACCCAAATCGCTTCAAATAATCTACAACAGCTGCAACCGTTAACGGAAGCTGGGTTGACACTGCGCTGATGAGTGATGATGGTATCCACCCTTTCGGATCAAACTAAAAAACCCATGAGACCGAGGACTTATAACTAGTAATCTGCGAGTCTATTACCTGGATAATGTGTGTAACTTTGATTGTCTCATCAGATAGAGCTTCAATATCCCATCCAGCAATATCAACGTGCGCCCGAACATTTCCATTCTTAACAGGCGGCAGGATGGGATCATCCGTAACTGATCGTACAAGGCTCTGTATTCGGCTGTCTCCTGTAACAATTGTACTCACTACCGTTGCATCTCGAGGGCTTGAAAAGACCAATAAACAGAGATAGTCAATATATGATTTCCTTTAGGCGCGTCTTTGTCAAGCGACCAACAGAACAACACTAACCTTGTTGGCCATACTCCCTTGTTCATGGCATGGATTATAAAGGAATTTGCAGAGAGCTGCTCAACAATGGTATCATTTTCAAAGTTGGTATCCCCTGTGCATAAGGATGTTGGTAATTAACGCAGAAAAACATGCCCTGAGATCCGTCTGACGTACAGATTTTGCGAGCCCCGGCCGTCTGCACTACAGCAATGATGTCCCATATACTCTTAACATCTGTGACAGGGTAGATTCCAACCCCTTTCAGAATTCCAGTGGGATGGTCAGGAAGGTCAGGGACGTCTTTCTTGAATATGGAGACATCCTTTTGGGTCGAAACGTGTTTGAACGATTCATCGAAAAGAAGATTATTGAATAGGTCAAATGCTCGAATCACAGACTCCCCAAACCGGTGAGGATATATGGGAAGCGAGATGCCTGACGTTTGAGACACGTGCGTTGGAACACATGAAACTTCGCCCTCCAGTATCAAACTCGCGGACCTCCGGAGTAACTCTGCTCCCATCGAAGCTGAAGAGACCAATTGGTCGTCGCTCCCACCATCAAGATCACCATTCTCATCAAGGTCATCTGCCTGTCCATGCCGGATGATGCCCTCTTCTATAGGGGCAGGGTTCATTTCAATAACAGAAATGGCAGCTCCATTGACTGTGACACCAGGCACCTCCGTATGTGAGAGACGTAAACTAAATGCTGCGTGTACCCGGTCGTCATCACCCGCACATGATATCTTCCATCCACCCTCACTGTCAATGGCGACCTCAACGGATATTTCACTTGTCGATCGCCCGTTTGCCTCAAACTTCAAGTCCAGGCCCTCTCCCGCTTTGACCCATCTGCGATAATCTATTCGAATCTCGACCATGGGCTGCACAAATGAGCTACCGCTTGACACAATAGATGTGCCTGATTGCCCCAGATGAGAGAAGTTTGGCTCGCTTGGAGTTGATGCATCCAGTACCTCCCATTGTAAGCCATACGTCCCATTTTTAAGGTCATAGGTTTCTCCCAGTGGCCTAACATAGGAAGCGTAATCTAGGATATACGGAAGAAACCCTTTATTTCGAAGATGATCTGCGGCAGCTCCCACTGAACGCGGTATCTGGTTGACTACAATCTCGCAATCACTGGCAGGACCAAAGCCGGTGTCGGGTGTCGTATCCAGCATACAAGTGATCTTTAGCCCGTCCCATTCTGCGGCTCGCTCTACCACCCATGCAAATAGGTTGATCTGGCCACGGATGTAAGGAAGGACCGCCTTCATCCAAGCTGGAGAGTCTACCGAGAATGGAACAGACGTTGATAGAGAAACAAAGGTAGTGGAAGTTGCGACTGTTTGTGTGATTACGATAAAATCGCGAGCGCTGTATGTATCAAATCTGTTCATGATACGCACAACCTTGACAAGAAAAATATTTGGCTCAAGTTCAAACCTGGATAGCATCTTACTCATCGTCAATCGTTGCAAGGACGTTCGCGCATCTAAGCGTTCCATGACTTCAACTTCATCAAAAATGGAATCCCCTGTAGATAGCAAAATCAGGCTTGAGCGCGTTACTTCTTTTTTCCAGTTGCCACTTACAAGGTCTTCCCGAGGATCCACTGAGAACGGCACCAAAATTGCGAGGTCGTAGGGCGATTCCATCTTTACCATCCAATACTCGTGCGACTACTTTGAACGACACACTAGATGTACTCGCTCGTCGATATACTCGGAAGCTCTGGAGGCCTTCCACTGCCTCTTGGCCATCTACAGCCTGCTGTTGCCAATTTGAAGCCGAAATGAGCGTCCGATAGAGATCATGGGCACGTCCAAGAAGGTCAGCATGCGTTCTGGATGGTGAACTGAGGCCAAGGGCATCACGTAAAATAAACAAACACAAGGTCAACGCAAGTTCAATTGGGAGTTATAATATACATTAACCTACGACATTTGCGATAAACGATCAAAGAGGTTATATTATAGACAAGAGTAAAATAGCTGTGACAACAAAGTGGAAACGCCGGCAGCAGGCAGCATGGCGGAACTCGGACGCAGCCAAATGAAAATGTTAAAGTGCCCTATCCTCACAGCGAAGCGCGAACAGCTCTGGCAACTTTCATCATCAACAACACGTGAGTTCATGTACCAGATTGTTGGTTTACTAGTGTGAGCTTGAAGATGCAACAAGTGATATCTCATGTCTCCATGCACTGTATTATGTGAACTTTGGTAAAAAGTCATATAACAAGTATCTTCAAATCAGTGCAAGATGTCACTTGGGGAACTTAAAGTCATTGTTTGAGTTATTGGAGGAATTATCATGGCACATTGAGGCACAATCAAAAGACATCTTCAAGTTATGCGCAATCCATTCCTGGAAGAGTTTGGGGCTCATGTCACTTTACTCTTCCTGCGATCAAATGACGCAGAATTCACTTGGATAGGAGAATGGCCAAACAGATCGATCTTCGTAAGAATTAGCTCAGAAAACTAACCAGTGTTCAAAACATATGCAACCCATTGTCCTTTTGGAGATACGTGGTTATTGCACCTTCATCCAAGAGATTCCAATCTTGAAATGAGTTTACATGGATGAGGGCTTTTTAGTTTAGAGGACATGTCTCCGCCCAGTGTTACATTCACTGATTTTCAATTAGACCATGGTCATGGTTTCCAATATCTTTGAAGCTGAGATGGTATAAAGACCATGACTATTCCTCCAAGGGCCTATGACACCTTAGCCAGTCCTGATGGTGGCACTTGGTACCGATAAACCTAGGACTGCCCGTGTGCAGGCGGTCTCAGATGCAAACATGACCTGTAGAGTCCAGGGTACAGGCAAGGCAAGTGTATGATGTGATTCCAATCTCCAGAGCTTTAGCCTCATGTCTCTGCAGACCACTCTGAAAAAGGTGGGAGATCAGGATGCACACATAAGTGTGTCCTAGTGCAAGTGCATCGCATGCCAACAGCAATTACCGACGCCCTGAAGAGTACGATATCCACAGTGCTACGGGTAGCCCGTGATGGATCATCAACCAAAAAATACGAATGATAAGTTGGCACTGACATTCATTGTCGCCCACATACTATGATCACAAACCGCCTCTGTTCCGCAGCAACAAAATTAACGGACCACATGCGACTACGGTAAATATAATACAGGTGCAGTCCATCACCCCACGCATGACCCCTTAAAATTGAACCGCTTAACGAGAGGTAGCCTTGACCTTGGGTGCGGCACCCTTCACTTGTTGCTTGCTGAACTTGGGCTTGGGTTGCGCGGCGCGGGTAGAAGAGGACTGAAGTGAGAGTAAAATATTAGGTATACAGCTGGAAAATCAACTTCATTCCTCGGATGCAAACCTTGGCCTTCTCAACCTTCTTCTTCTGCTCGTCAGCTTGCTTCTTCTCCTTGGCTTGACGAAGGGCTTGTTGACGCTGTGCTGCACGGACCTCAGGCTTTTGGGCACGCTTGGCCTTGATGGCTTCCAAAGAGGCACCAACAACAGCACGTTGGGCCTTGACGGTACGACGGGTCCTCTTCTTGGAGACCTCTTCAGTGATACCCTTCTTGTGGAGACGACGGAACACTACCGTCCAGTCAAGCTTGGAAGGCTTCAAGCGCTGCATGAAGTACGACTCGCACTTGCCGTTAATGAAACGGTAGGTCTAAAAAGTGGTGCCACCCGTTAATCATCCCGGGTCCCGAAGGAAATCAAGATCATCAAAACATACGCGGCTGTCGCCCTTCACGAAAACCTTCCCATGACCTGGGTAGATCTTGAACCCGGAGAAGTTGCAGAGCTCGATCCTGTTGTTGGCAACATCATGGATCAGTACCATTGCACACATCATGCTCCAAACATCTACCCAAAGTATAGCTCAGTAGTTCCATCTCCAACCAATTTCCTCTCTCATCCCCTTGGTACAGCATGTCCGTACACCATTCGTTTACCGTCCGCTCGACTCCGTGCAAGATGAATCGTCCACGACATCCACCTCGATGTACCCTACTAGTCGCCACAGCTCCAGTGCTCCAGCCATTGGGAAACTTGCGCTCGTGGACATCGTGCAAAGACCGTCCCCGGGCTATTCAACATGGGCCGCCATGTTCTACCGCCACCTCCACCATTCATCCCATCCATCATCCATCCATCCATCCGAAATCCCATCTGCATCCCCAAAAACCAATCGTCCTCGTCTCTACACACGCAAACGCTGCCGCCCGCAAGAGAGATGACTTACTTCATGATGGATGTGCAGAACGAAGCTGGTCGAACGTGTGCACGATTGCCAATGTCCCAAACAGCACGCGCAGCAACTTCTCAAAGCGGAAGGACGAAAATGATCACATGACCTCAACACGATCATGCCCATGTAATCACTGTGCCGCCGCCGACTTGCGCGGACGAGGACGAGGACGATGACATTTGCTGCGATTCCTACTTGAGTTTTCTAGGAACATTCTTGTCAACAGTGGCATAACCTCGCCTTTTGTTTCCTTTCTGACGACTTGATTTCCGATAACTCATCGGCCCGTCCGCACACTGGACGCGTTTGGAAAGATTGCCTCGCTGCATCCAGGGCAATGGTGAACATTGCTACAACAGTGAAAGGGCAGACTTCGTCACGACCGCAAAGTGCAATTTATAGCAGGGAGAGTGAAAGTGAAGACCTCCACGGAAAGATACTGCCGCATGAAAGAGCTCGCACACTCGTACAAACGGACAACAATAGGTTAGTTCATCAGGCCGTGGGAGAGTGTAAACAAATGAATGGGCATGTGCTCAAGCTTTGCGGTTGGGCGAGCTAGTATAGCAAGACATAGAGAATAGAAGGTTGTGGAAAACCTTTGTTGAAACCTAGCTAATGTCATACTTACTTGCAGAGATGTTGGCCGTCCATCCAAAACCCGCTCGCTCTATGATCACCCGCCCCTTGGCCCTAATGAGGAGAAGAAGAGGGAGGCAAAAAAGCGCACCTCAATAGCATCCCCGTCACTAGAACATACATCAGAGTCGAAAGGTGGGAAGTCTGCAACGCACCAACCTCCGGCGACTCGAAGTTCTTTAGCCAAGCATCGTCTCTCTGCCCCGCCGGCGGCCGAGCCGTCCCCGCAGATAGCAGGGATTGAGTCTGATCTACCTCCCGAAACGTTAGAAAGCGCAACAGAGGCTCGATTGAGAAATTTAACAATTGACACGCAATCAATAGTTTCTTCCATGAGATCATTTTCGGCTAGCGCCACGTCCACCTTGCGGAGTGAATCAGGATCGTCGCGAGCGAGTCTTTCGTCAGACGATATAATTTATATTGTCTCTAGTGACTCCTTGGAGAATTCTGTGGTTTCTGATACATCGGACATGCGGGAATCGCCAGATGCTGTTAATGCTATGATTGCCATAGATGGCTCATCGCCTGTATCGAATGACGTCAGCCCGGCTTCCCCGATTGTTGATACAAAAAAGCGCGAAAATATTGCCCGAGAGATACTTGACAGCGAGCGACGCTATGTGGACAGTCTCCTGTTATTGCAAACGGTAGGTCTTTGTCCGGCTCTTCAGAGAGATTGCATTCTCACTTGAGACCGTCATCGCCGCAGCTTTTCCTGAATCCTCTAATGGCAGCAGTTGGTACAACATCTGAGGTTATCCCTAAAAAAATTGTTCAGAGTATTTTCTCTGAGCTGGCCGGAATCATCAATGTGAATATGGAATTGAGAAAGCAGCTTGAAGCTCGACTCGAGGAGCATCCATGGAACCCCGTAGACGGCTGCCTAGGCGACATTTTCCTGAATTTGGTACGATTCGCGAACGTCTGAGTGGCCCCATACAAGTGTGATTGTGACAATGGTTCCTACAGGCACCCTTCTTGAAGATGTATTCTTCGTACGTCAAGAACTTCAACACTGCACTGTCAGTCGTGTCGGAGCAGATAAGCAAAAATCCCGCATTTGCTCAGTTTGTAACGGTATGTATTCAAAATGGACAAATTATGTCTTCCTGTCGAACTCACAAAACTAGATAGAAACAAAACGCCAATCCTGATCTCAAAGGGCTTGGATTTCAAGCTTATCTCATCATGCCCGTCCAGAGAATTCCACGGTAAGCACTTTTCCAAGTTGAATAATTGCATGAGCTAATATAATTGTCTTCGACCAGATATAAAATGCTTGTGGAGGTTTGGTGGTTACCGGTTTTGTCACAACGCATACTGGTAGTAGCTGATAGTCACTCTGTAGGACTTACTGAAACACACCGAAGTTGATCACCCTGACCACTCCACCTTGCAAAAATCCCTCGAAACTATTGCCGAAGGTTGGTTCTGGTTCGCGATCGCTCGCATTTCCACTTCGCTTAGATCCAATGCCTTCGTAGTTGCGGTTTTCGTAAACGAAACAATCCGGCATCATGAAATGATGCAGGAACTTATTGAGATGCAAAAGTGTATTCGCGGTCTGCAAGAAGTAGGTACAGATGTGAATTTTCCGATTAGAATTCAAGAGCTGAGTCACCTGTACATTACAGGACCTGGTAACCCCTGGTCGACGGCTGATACGTCGGGGCAAAGTACAAAAGGTATATGTTTATGCAATTGGGTAAATGTGAGCACGGCAATTCATGTGCTTGGTGCTAGATATGCCGCAGAAGACACCAAACCCGATACCTTATTCTTCTGTCCGATTTCTTGATTTATACCAGGTCAGTCTCCGTTTATCTCATACTGTTGGCCCAAAATTGTATGATTAATTTCTCTTTTTCACCAGTCCCGGTATTCTGGAGGATCAATACGTATTCCATCGAAAGCTAGACCTAGAGCTATGTCAAGTCATTGACGTTCCCGACACCCAAGGTATAAAGGAGGTTTTGCAACGTGTATTAAAAATATTCTCGCTAAGCCAATATGGTTTAGATCTTCAGCACATATTTCAGATTGTCAGCCCCGAAAAATCTTTTGCAATGTATGCAGGTAAGACGTCGTTTTCGTTTACATCAGATCAATAATATCATCAAACTAAAAAAAAAAAATTATACATGCAAGACTCGCAACAGGAAAAGGAGGACTGGATTAAAGCTATTGATGGAGCCATCCGGGAACTGAGAAGCAACAAGAGTACTCTCCGAAGTGGTAAGCATCATTTGCGGCATCGAAACATATGACACGTACCAAGGATAATTCAACAACAGAACATGGAGACAACTGGTATGCAAATGAGAAGAAGAAAAAGATGCATCATTACAGTGCACCAGTTTGGGTATGTTTGCCAATTTTGCTCCCGTTCACGAACAGCTATAGCCTGACGTTCTTACCTGCATTGTTCAGGTACCAGACAATTGTGCCAACAGCTGTATGCTCTGCTCCCAAGAATTCAACATCATCAAACGAAAGGTATAACCCCTGTCCTTTCTCTGGGTCTTACGTATGTCTTTGGTACTGAATTGTATACACAGCATCATTGCAGGTACATGGACATTACCAATGAAGGGCGTTGGTATTCCTATTAACAGACTTTCACCACAGAGCGTGCGGCAAGGTCGTCTGTCATGCCTGTTCAAGTCGGGTACATATCTTATATTTCGCTACACTCGTTGGTTCGGTTCGCTAACGGTTTGCCTTAAAGTATTTCATCATCCCAGGGCTCGACGAAGATAGACCTGCGCGAGCATGCAATCCATGCTATGACCGCATCTCTAAAGAGGGAAAACTTCAAGTGGTGCAGGCAGACCAAGGCAGCGAGTCGCCCATGACCCCTGCTGATGCCAATATCAACGTACCTCTTCCTCGACCGAGACAGATGCCACGACGGGTGCGTCCTGTCTCTATGGCCCCTCAAGTTTGGAGCATGCTCGGACGCAACTTTGTTGAGGATCCATCGACGTTCAGAGACCCGGTGACACCCCAACGACCTGGAAGCGAGATTGGCGTGGCCAACTCGCCACTCGCGGCTGCAAGAGAATGTTCACTTTGTAAAGATCCCTTCTCGATTATGAAGTGGAAGGTAGGTAGAATTTGGTCTGCGTAGATCGTGTTAAGTATTCACCCATGGTTCCTTAAGTACCAATGCTCAAAATGCGATCGCATCGTATGTGGCGGATGTGCCCCTAAAAAACCACAATTTGATGTATGTGACCCATGCCATCGAGGAATCGACCCTTCTGACGTTGTGGTAGATGAAGAAGGGGGAGGTTGGAGCGCCCGTTATGTCCCAGACGACGAAACTGTTGAGGAGACACCAGCGATACTATGATACGACTTTTACGACATTTAAATACCCCCAGAATCATCATTTCCTGAAGCGCTAATGCTCGCATATGTAGATAGTAAATCGTAGAGTTTCAAATAAATAGAAGGACTGTAAAACCGTGCTGTATCTGCGTTGGATAAAATGGATCGGCCACTCTCTAGAATCATAATAACGGCAAAAAAGTGATAAAAAAAGAGAAGATTGTGCTGAAGACTCCTATTATTTATACAACGCCCACAGATACCCTTTACGCCTTGACTGCGTACCTAGTGATGATAAAAGACTTCTATTAGCAGTAGCCCCAATTAGCAACTGGAATCAGTATTACATACTTGCGGAGAGGGAAGTGAGTTTCCCGCTTCTGCTGCCTCACAGTCTTACGGGTAGCCTCGAAAGCAGTCAAACGGCGACGAATAGCACGGGTCTTCTTGGGGCGGAGGTCCAAAGGAATGTACTTCTTGCCTTTGTAGAAAATGCGGAGTTGGTCGCGCTGGGTCTGGCTGATGACGGTGTTCACACGGGCAATGGACTTCCGCACATCGTGGCTGAATAAGGAGAAACGATTCCACTAGTCAGTAACTTGCAATGCATCCACGCATTCCGTAGCTACCATGTCCACCACCAGCATAGCCATAGTTCGGGGAAGCACCCACTGCCTGCCTCGTCTCCTTACACCCGTCAAACCATGTCTTATTCCAAATCGCCCTATTCGCCTAGTGACACTTGTCGTCCACCTCGCAATAATTCTGATCTCGACAATTTCTTTCGATTGCGCTTTGTCCAACTCTGTTCCTCCTCTCGCCCTAATCTACTACCCACAACCGAAAATAATGCTTACATCTTTGCCAACTTTGATGCAGCACCACCGGCAACCTTTTGGACACGGAGTGAAGCGAGCTCCTGCTTCAGCTCGTCCAGCTGCTTCGTCAAGTCAGCCTTGGTTTTGTTCCGGAGCTCGTAGGTCTTGACCTTAGCCTACGTACAATAAGAAGCGGGTAGTCAGCTTTTGTCGAAACATACGGTAGGTGCCCAAGGATCAAATGTCCGTAATGCCATGTTCCCCAACCCTCCTTCCGACATGCTCATTCGCTCCAACTCATCCCTCCACTCAAACGTCCCATCCACATCAATCATTGCCTCTACAAATCGACGGTTGGATGGATGGATGGATTCCGTTTACTTACCATTGCTGCTTTACTCTCCTGATTACACGCAAAGGGTAAGCAGAAATACGAGTACTGGGGGATTAATTCTTTCCACCGCCTGCTGTTGGACAAAGTCGATCTGCGAGGCCCTCCAAAAATGCGCTTAGTATCTCACGTGATATGAGCGACTAAGCACAGGTCGGGATTCAAGCAACTGCATCTCACCTCAGCGCCAGGCATTTCCAAAAGGCCACCACCATCTTGAAAAACTCTCAAGGAATTAGGAACTAGCAGCTGAACAGCGGGGGCAATACGGGCTCATTGACCCAAGGAAGGGAGCATCACACATCATGGTGCAGGTAATTTTCGAACGTTCTTGGCTTGTCTGCATTCCAGTATTGTTTACATTGGTGTTACAACGCCTAGGCCATGGGCGCTGGTCGGAGCGCAGGTTCGCAACAACCACTTTTCTGCTAAATGATGATGATACTGATATCTTCTCAGATGTAACTCCTCCTCCAGCGCTCATCTTGCACCTCTACCCGACTCATTTTGCTTTAGGAGACTATGTAGGCCACGCGTGCGATATATTGCACCGACTTGACCATTCACCAGTTTGTTGCTTGCTTTATCTAGGATACAACATATCAATACAATGGACCTTTGAAGGTCAGATCCATATATCTGGAAGTTGGTGAATGGGACATATCAATCTGATTCTCGTTCGATGTGATAGGATTTCCTAGAGGCAGTCAACAGACAAGAACTTCCAGCAAACGCATCGGATTTGTTTAAAGAGTCTGATTTTCATGATGGTGCGTTCGTTCTCAAGCACCCATAGTCTGTCATCTGTTTATATAATATGTTGACTTGAATTGCAAATATAGGTCGGATATACGTCCAAGTCCGCGATTACCGTGTCAATTATCATGCAAATGTCCAATTATCAGAGAGAAGTTTATCCAAAGATATGTTGACATCACCAAGCGACACTGGGAAGAGCTTTTCGGGAACGGCAACACCGGACATCAGAACGTTGGTCTTACGCCCGACACCAGCCTCTCTGTGGGCAGATATTCAGTCTCTCAGTGCCACTGCAATACCTTCTGGGCCTCCGCTGGCAGAAGATACTGCACTTGAAGCAGAGGCCAAAATTTTGGTGCGCCTTTATGACTGTGAAATGGAACGCTGATAGCGTGGACGCTTACATTGTCCATAGGTGGCGACTCAGGAGCCGTTATGCCTAGACCCTGATCCAACAGTTGCTCGGACAGCAAATATCAAGGCATACAATGACGCAAAGTATCGTGTCCCAAGAAAGCGACCGAGAAATTGGGCCGCAAAGGAAGAAGATGATGAGCAGAAGAGGGAAAGCGATAGACTGATGTTGATCATGGATGAGGTATGCTTCTATGGATGTATCCTTTGCTATTGTGTGATTCAGTATTGATCGGTGTTTTGACTTCGCAGCGACGAAAGGGTGAATTTCATCCAAAGTACGTAACTGTCGCAATTTGGTGTGAGCCGCGGAATGACCTCATGTCATTGTTCCTGCAGGTTTGCAAAGTTTTCCTTTGTTGAAGATTGGAGAAAGAAGAAAGCCGCATTTGATGCAGAAGCCTTGCTTACCATTCAAGAAAAGCGAAACATTAAAGGTGATCATTTTGTAGCATAGGCATCCGGTACTCGCTCGTTCTAAACCCCTTTCTTCGATAGTGCCCACAAAGAAGACACAGGATACTCGTTTCCACCTGAATTCCGACGCAGGAACAATTGTGCGAACCCTGAACTTTCAGCAGACTTATGAACGGATTGGGGGTAATTTCAAACCGATTTTTCAAAATCCGTTTACGATTCAATATCTAACTTGCCCATAGTAACGATGTACACAACTCTAAACATACATTCCATGGGGGGCGGCCAATATTCTTGTACGCTGCGATGGGGTCAGACACCTGGCACTGGGATCGGTAAAGGTAACCTGCGAGGCAATACCTTGAGGTACGTTTACACACAAGACTTTAGGAAATCGGACACTTTGTTAATGTCGTTATGATAGATTTCCTTTGGGAAATCTGGCCGCTGCCTGGTGGTATATTCAACAATTCAAAATCCACTACACTCTGTCTAATAAGCTTATTGAGGATATTGACTCTTCAATGCAAAGGGCAGCAGGTACGTCCCTACACCGCAACAACCTGTATGCTCGCGTCTTGTTCACTGATTTCTATCACGTAGTGCAACCAATAGGAGTTTCGCAAGCTCAGGGTGTCACTGCTACCATTGCGCCACAACTTATGAACGGCACAACAGCAATACACCCTATACAGCTACAGCAACTTCAGCACCAACAACAAGCTGCTTCCCAACTGCTACATCATCCACATGCAGCAGCGCTTGGTCGTGGAGTAATACGCGGCAACGTTAGAGGGAAGTTCCGCGGGATGAGGGGTAGAGGCGCCCCAAGTAAATAGAGGGCACAAATTTGCCACGGAGGTCGAACGTTGGTCGCAAAAGCGTCGCAAATTGTACATATCATAGATTGAGTATTGGTGCAGATTGGTAAATTGGTATTTCGGTAGATGGGCTTTTTGACGTTTGCAGCACTGCTGCCAGTAAAGCTTCAGGGCATGGCGTGCCGGCCTCGGCAGATACTTTTACTTGCTCGTCTTGCAGCCGGCGACTTGTCGTGGGCCCAATAGATGCACATCGCACCTTGCTCCACCATGTCATTTCTCTCAGACTTGCAAGGGCCACGTCAACACCCGACGGGCTGAAAAACACCACCCAATCGATATCAGTGTCTCTGGAACAGCCTGCGATTTGGGCAGCTAACACGGCTTCAAAATCCGGCAAAGGACCCGTCCGATATACCATAACCTTTTCCAAAGGAATATTCGCGGCGGACAGACGTTGCGGAAGAACATCTCTGGCTTTATCACCAGCCAAGAAAAGCAATGGTGCAGAAGGACGGCCTTCGTTAATTATGATATCCGAAAGTACGTCAGCCGTTCCCGCACACTCGCCTACAGGCTTAAATCCTGCGTCGCGTGCTGCGGCACCAGTTGCTTTACCCACTACATAGAAAGGTTTGTTACGCCAATTTCCGCCCGCGGTTTGCTCGAAATCTGCAAAAGGAACGCATTTAACGGTTCAAGAAAGTTACTAAATCGCTCAGTGCACATTCAAATCAACCTTTTACAGTATCTACTGCTCGACCCCAGCATATCTTCAACGCTTCGAGTGCTCTCTTACTAGTGGCAATGAACCCTCCATATTCATGTTCTCTTTCTGTCAGAATGACAGTCAGTTCGTCCAAGTTCGTGCAGACATGCCCCAGTACTGGAACAAATATACATTGAAACCCGCTAGCGGCAAATAGAGTTTCATATGCATTTTGGACGTTCTCGGCATCTTCGTCGGATCTTCCCCGACAAAATAGGATGGTTGGGGTCATCCCTCATTTGTAGGGTTGAATGGTTGAGGGTTGCATCGTCTGGTTGATCTGGTTAGGTACTAAGCCGTTTCGTCATTGCTTACATAAGAAGTTCGGTGCCCACCGATCAGGATCTTTCCTCTTGACTGCTCTTGCACCGTGCAGGCGGATAGCTCAGCATTTGTGGCGAACCTGATAACATCCGAATACTTAAAGCGAATATTGCCTATGGCTCTCTTCCGGCCGACATTCGATGATGCGGTTGTTGAGCCACTTCTTCCGGACCCTGACCCGTCGTGTCCTTTAGATGAACCATGGGAGGGATCTTTTCGCTATGTGCGCAATGAACTCATCAACTACGTTCGCACATTGATCTGCAATTCGGTGGTTGTGCCAGTAAAGGTTAGTCGAAAGGATTTGTTGAAAGGGTTAAGCAGCATCATTGACAGGTTTCCTTTTTTCTGCGACCAGCTCTCGCACATTTTGAGGTCTACTGAGAAGGCGGAGGAAATCACTCGGAATGTCATTGAACGTGCAGGACGAGCCTCTGTGTAAGGAAAATCTGAAAACCATTTGCTATACGATCGTGCTCTGAAGCGGCTTCACATTAGATATGTCACATTACTTGTATGCAAACAATTCCGGACGGAAGCAAAGTCGGATCACGTCAACCGCACACTGGTATGACGTGGCCCTTGTAATATCAGGTCATTTAGCTTATCTTTATTTCATAGTTGGAATCCCGGGGAACGTACGCGGAAGTTCTCGCCATCTTGCTTCTTGCCCAACACAGCAGTGACAGCCTCGATATCCTAAAGGAGGTAAGACTTCAGGTAAAGGAATTGTATATCTTTTGTGAATAAATGTTATCAATGTCGCGCATCGTTACCCCCACAAAATGTGCCTGCGTTGAACTCTCTCTCCTGCTTTAGATTCTCACCTGCCAATGGGACGAGGGAAGACGGTCGGATGAACCTATCGAAAATGGCACGCATTGATCTCTGATCCTTTCTTTCAAAGTATGGTCACTGACTCGTCAAGTTTAGCTCTCACAGTAGCAATTGAAGCCCGGGCAACGCATTTCATTTCGGATGGTAGAGTCAACAACACCTTGATGGCAATGTATGCTTATAGTCAGTGGGGATGGCAGTTTACTGAATTTTGCCGCTAACAACGAAACGATCAGTTGGCGTGGAAGCTACGTTTACGACTCACGTCTGACCCAAGGATTACAACGATACCCGAGTCGTATACAAGCGCGGCAAATGACTGAAGGACGCGAAGAGAGAGGGCACGAGGGAGGAAAGCTTCAATTTAGGTGGTGGAAGCTGAGAGTGCCACGTTACCAGTAAGCCATCATCATTTTATTCAGCTTTCGTGAACCTCTTGTTGACAATAACTGTTGATAAGGTACTACACGTCCGTCTTTATTTACTTTATCTTCTTGGGATTGTACACCGTGGTTGTTAACGGGCGGACGATTACACCTGCGCCGGCAGAGATTGCAATGTATATAATGGTGTTCTCCTTTTTAGGTTGGTTTTATTCTTGCAAAAGTCTTATCTGACGTGCCCTAACGTTATTGTCAATGCAGCTGAGGACGTGAAGAGCGTAAGACCTGTTCATTCCCTATGACCATGATTTCGAGTAATGACAAAATGTGATTCTTTGTAGATTTTCTTAGCTCACCGTCGATTTGATGCACTGGGCATGTGGAATTGGTGAGTCGAAACTCTTTCCATTACGTCCTCGTTTGACATTACGCATCTGATACACCATAATGGATTTCATATAGGATTGACTATGTGTCTTACTTTATTTTTATCGTGGCATTCACCTTTCGCTTGCTGTCATATATGGAACCAAACCAAGAGCGACAACGGGAGCTCACTGATATTGGTAAATAGAGTGACCGATTGTTGACTTTCTCCATTTTCTAACTTGATGTCGGTAGCCTTCAACATTCTATCCTGTTCGGCGGTTTTCGTCTGGTTCCGGACTTTGGAACTCTTGGGTATGAGTTTGACGTTTGCTTTAAAACAATTGGGTATGCTGACCAGACGTACATTTGGTAGACACATTCCGTAATTTTGGCTATCTCCTTGTTACCGTTCGGTAGGCGTCGCTAGATGTCGATTTCCGTTGCACGGATCACCAAATTTTCGATTCACAGACGAATGCTTCAAGATGCATTGCATTTCTTTGCACTGATTGCTATTTTGATACTCGGATTCACCCAAGCCTTCCACGGGCTAGCTCTTGGATACGGCGGGGGAAAGCCTTTAGAAGATCCTGATAGGTCATCTCGAGCAAATCTGCCTTTCATACTTAATATGCTGGGGAGAAGTCTGATGTCGGTAAGCTTTCAAGAATTAGAGTGTTTAGGAGGGAGCTATATGGCTCAAGTGGACTCTGTAGGATCCCGCGTACGATGAAGCTGGGTATATTCACAAATTCTATGGCACAATTTTGATGCATATCTTTTTGTTTATTTCGTAAGTGCGTTTGTAGTACTCACAATAGCTGTGTAGTACTACGACGCTAATTTGGCTTTGGTATTTTCAGATACCTTGTCTTCATGAATTTGCTGATAGCTGTATTTAACAACTCGTACGACGAGGTCCGAGAGAAAAGCGAGGTACAGTTGATAGCCAATCACAGCCTCAATTTACGCTGGCAGGTCCACCAGGGTTACTGATTATTTCCATAGGCAGAGTACCAAATACTCTTGGCTGAAAAAATTCTGGAGCACATTCAGCGTTCATATGAAGTTCCATTCTTGCCTCCAGCGAACCTGATTGAACTCATTTTCCTACCTGGCCTACCAGTGATTGGCAAAACGCGCGGGCGCGTAGCCCTGGAATACATTTGCGCCGCATTGTTTATTCCTGAAATGTTGGCGATTGGGGTCTACGAATATTTTTGTCCTCCTCAGATAAGCGACCGAATGCAGCCCTTGACACAAACCAACGTGGCTTTTGAGACGTGGCGGTTAGACATTGAGGTTCTAGGCGAGCGAAGTGGCGGAGGGGATGTTGGTGATGGTGTTGAGGCGGCGCATGCAAAGGCAGTTGATCCCCGGCGCCGGTTGTCAGCAGCGGACAACGGCAGAGCACCCAAGGATGCCATGGATAGGATTTTGAAGGCAGTAGATGGACTTGACAAAAGAATTGCTAGGCTAGAGCATGATAGAAATGAAGAAGGGGGATGTCATTTGAGACGGGAGGATTTGGAACTGATTGCAGACCTCGTAGTGCAGAAGTTTAAGATGTCGACGGAGGGTTAAAACAGCGCACAGCACGTGTTTTAATTTTGGCACGCTGGGAGACATAGACCCTGAATTGTGGTAAACAGCAAGAAATTCAAACACCCTTGTCCCACTCCCTTGGTAGCATGTTTGTGACTGTTCTGGGTACGAATTGTTTTCACCTTGGGTCACTTCTGGGGTCAGATACCCTGGCATTTTCTTGCTCGTGCAGGGGACGCCAGTTTTAGATGTTTTGCAATGGAACTGGACATTTGCCAATGTAAATCACTCTGTTGACAGTTGCGATGATTCGAAACAGGTTTAGGTGCAGGGGACACCGCTATGTTTATCAGAATGTTTAACGCTCATCAGAGGGGTTTCTCGAGTGTCTCGAACCTTGGGCAGTTGGAAACTAAACAAGGACATTTCTCGACACCAAAGTGTGCACTCTTTGTGTTGACGAGGCTTTTCTTGTCTTTGCCCCGTGAAAGAAGGTTGCTTCGTTGCTCGCCGCAGCAAAACGGCCAAGTCTCGCCATCTATGGCTTTTGGATGAACTGTTTTTGACAAAGACGCACCCCATCGTACACCCACTTGCTGAGCAGCTGGCCGTTTCTTTGACCAAACAAAAAAAAAAAAAGAAAACATGCTTTGGTCGTTTGAAAATCCGTAAAAAATCGCGCCTCGATCCCCAAATGGCACTGTCCGACCCGCACAGATCCTTTGTGGAATCCACGTAGCTAAGCCTCTCGGATTTTACCAATATCGCTAAACAAGTTAGATCTTTTGTTTATCGTTTTAAGCAGTAAAAAGACTTACGCAAAAGAGCCGGTGCCAGAAAGAAAAAATGGATATAAAAGGGACCCCCTTGCTGTTGGCCCTTTCTCGCATCAACAACACGCAGCAAATCTCAAAGCACACCTCAACCAAGTTATTTGTTTGATCCTTCAACATCTCAAACATGTTCAAGATTGTCCTTACGACCCTTGCCTTGACCGTGTTGACGGGGGCAAACGCCCAAGACAACGACCTTGGCGCTCTTCCTGCTGCTATTCTCCCACCAGCAGGATATGTACCCAAGGAAAAGCTATACGCTGTCGGAACTCAGAACTATGTCTGTAGCGCTGGCGCTGCGACTCCTTGGACCCTAGTTACTCCAAAAGCGACCTTGTACAAGGAGGAGGCTCATACGACGGAAGTAGCAAAGCATTTCTTTACGACTCCGGATGCTACGGGCGCCAAAGTTATTTGGGAGGATGTAAACGGATCTGGATCACACGTCCGCGCTGCACCGAATGCGACATCCCCGTCTCCAGATGGTCCCCAAAACGTCCCGTGGGTCATATTGAAGGCTACCGAATCGACCGGAGAGCTCTTTGGAAATATTGGATATGTTTTACGAATCCACACTTTGGGTGGTGTTGCCCCGAATGCGACCGAGTGTACAGCTGCAAAGAATGGTACAGAAGTGGATGTCGACTACACCGCTCTCTATGTCTTTTACACGAATAAAGGTGCGACAAACACCCCCGAGACGCCTGCCACTACCTCCCAACCGGTGGAAGCAACGAAAACTCCTGTTCCTACTGGCCCGCTATCGGACGCAACCCGATCAACTGTGACGATGGCCATGTCAGTTGTTCTTTCCGCGGTCGGGTCGGCTATTTTCTGGCTTTAGATACTTTTCTCTCTGGGCTGCTGGACCGGCCGTTATATTTATATATGTTTAGATAGTTGTAGAATTACTTTTTACATGTAATGATTTTCTATGAATAAAGGTGTGATTGAACTGATATTCATATTAATTGACAATGCATAAATCTGGGTGGTTACTTTCAGCTATCTAGCGCAACAAAGTTCCAATTGAACAATCTCATTTTCCAGTCAACTTTTGTGAAACTTTCATAATCCCGCCAATCCCCCACAACATCCAATTCCGCACTCCCGAAAAAGTTCCCTGAGCATGTATCATATCCGTACTCTGTTTGCTGGCCTTCACAGCCTTGATGCCCCGCTGCATCATCTTCTCATTATACTGTTTTATCGCTTCTTTGATGTCACCGTCCGCTTGCAACGCCGCAGCGAGATCAGAGGCGTCTTGAAATGCAGTGTTGGCGCCCATACCACGGTGAGTGGTCATAGCATGAGCAGCATCGCCGAGGAGAATTACACTCAGGGGGCCAGTTTCGAGGGGGTTACCCTTTGGCGGAACTGTGGAAAAAAGGCCTCGAGGTGTGAAAATCACGTCCGAAGGGGCAGTCAAGGAGATCAATTGAGCAATATCGGGGTTGGATGGAAAACCAGATTGACAACATTGTACTGCATATTCAATTGTTTTTGCGGGATCGGAGAGTGTTTCTGAAAGCTCTGACGTGGGCGTTGGAAAGGAGAGAGCCCATACGACACGCTTGCCGGTCACCACGTCGGATGGAGCGTCAGGACGGGGTTCGGCCACGTACGGAAGAATTAAAAGTGTTTTGCCCTCTTTGCCGAGAACTCTTATACAGCCTTGGTCAAGAAGTGTTCTTATAGTGGGTGCCTTGTCAAGGACGTCCGTGCCAACGGTAGCCGCAATCGACGTGATATGCACATCTTCAACCACGAGATTCGGACACCGCTGAGCTCTGACTTTTGACCTTGAACCATCGGCTCCCACAAGAATGTCAGCCGTGATGGATGTCCCATCCTCAAAGTAGGCACGGATACCGCCGTCAGGCAACTCCTCGTAATGGTCATACTTTTTTCCCCACTCGATCGGAGCACCCTTTGCCAGCATTTGACGAAGTGCCCACCGCTCAACCGAGACGCTTCTTCCATACCCGGGTGACCCAACAATTTTCATCAAAACGTTGAGCTGGTGGTCAACCATTAGGAACGTCATAGTGTCAGAACCTTTAAACAAGGTGTCAAGGTCCGACTGGGAAATAGCCGATGCGAGAGCCTGATAGCCATCTGGATTGATACCCAGAACATATCCTTGGTTTCGTGCCGAGAGCGATGCGTCCCTTTCGTAGATTGTTACGGAAAATCTGGAATTTTTGGAGAGCCCCTGGTAGAGAAGGAGCCCACCAAGTCCTCCTCCAATGATGGCTACACGGAGTTGGTTTGGAGTTTCGGATGCTTCTTGCGACATTATAATATGTTGCAATCTGTTTATTGGGCGACAGAGGGCGTATTTGGAGAAACCCGTCCTATTTATGATCCTGCAGAGGGTATACGTGGATGAGCCCGAATTTGGCCACTTGGAAGCATTTCATTGGCAGCTCGCCCTTTGTGAACGCGTGCTGCAAAAAGCGTGCTTTTTGGGGGTTGATTTCCTTCCTGAACTCGCACGATGGAAGCTGACTTGCTTTTTGCAAAGGGCTTGTCGTCGTCAAAACGATACTCTGAAATCAGCGAGAGTTCACAGCAAATCCATTTGACATGCTTCAAGTAATGAAAAAAGTATTAATCGAATCGAAAAAAAAGAATTAGAGAATTTTACAAGATGTATGCGAGTTATTCCCTTCCCCCCCTCTAGTCCCACGCTTCTTGTGAAAGCAATCATAGAAAGTTCCCATTCAGATTACCGGCCCACCATCCTTTTTTAAAACCCACACGCTTTTAAGCTGAGAGCAACGAATCCATGTCATCTGGCCGCATGCGGGCGCCTCCAAACTGAGGTCGAGATTGACATCTATTTGACCCGTAATAATTCGTCGTCATTGGCATTGGATTTTCAAGTAGGACATACGGATCGTCCAAATAAGCGTGAGTAGGTGTGTCCACCACAGGTCGCATGACGATGCTTAGCCGCCGAGCTTTCATGTCCTTATCTCCTTCCGTATGAGGTTCGTTCTTGTTGGGTATAGAATTACAGGCACCTGAGCTGCTAGAAGACTTTGACGAGGATGATGACCGAGAGACATCAGAGCCCGATGACATAGAGCTCCGACTAGCACGCGAACGTTTGCCAACTTTAACAGTCATGGGAACACTTGTAACTGCCATAGAGCCATTCGCTGCTTGCTGAGAATGGCTGTTCAACGATGAGAATGTATCTCCCTGACTACTGGCAAGAGTCTTGCCAAGAGCACTGCGACTTTCCTTGCGTATCAGATCACGGCGAGCTGTAGCTTCGGCATCTGCACAGTTGACTTGGTCAATCACGCATTCCGTAAGCTTGATACAGGAATTTCCTTACCTCGGGCTTGTGCCTCGTCAATGATGTGCGCAGGAGTCTCATATTCTGCTGCCTTCTTTCCGTCACCGACCATCTGCTGGATCGTAGCACAGATCCGAGCAAACGCAATCTCCACGTGCTCGTCTTCCTTGATGAGTGAATCAATATCCACTACCGCGGGTTCCGAGCGAGAATCTTCTACTGGAGCGGGACTCTTGGTCGTGGACCCGTTAGCGAGGATAGCAACCGTTTCGGCATTGACGGAGCTTAGCCCTTTCAGACTATACAGAATATATCATTAGCACAGAAAACAATTATGCAGCCATCCAACCACGTTGCTCACCGTTCAATCTCTTGTCTCAGTTCATCCAGTTCTTGAGCCTGCTGACGAATGGTATTTTCCAAAGAAGAATTGACAGCGAGCAGTGAAGTGTTTGAAATCTCTAGGTCCATTATCTAAAACCGGGCGGTTAGTTCGTAATGCTTGTTTACGGCGATCAGTTCTTCCTACCTTGCGCAAGGCCTTGTCGTTTGCTTGAATTTCCATCGCGACAGGGTCGAGTATGGGACTACGCAACTGGCAACTTTTACACTTTTCTAACGTGCCTTCAGCAGCAGGCGCCAAGTTGGTTGTGTCGATATCAGCGATACCAGAGTCTGGGCGAGCCTTGCTACCAGGAATCTTGACCTAACCCAAAGTGATCAATTAGTACAAGTTCAATTTGGAGGCAGCTTCTCCGGAAAAGCGTCAGGCGATGCCTTCTTGCAAAATTCTGTTCTCACCTTTATGTTTCCAGTAGTCTTCCCAGTAAGAGTCGTGCGTTTAGGAGTAATGCGAGGCGCCTCAACTGGAGGAGCGATCACAGCACGCTGGAGCTTCCCCAGGCTGCTAGATCTGCCACTTCCAGGAGAGGAACCGTTACTACCGTCCGACGACGAGCCCGAAGAGAGTCGATTTTTGGTTGCAGCGACAGGCTTTCTAGGTGCAGGTCGGGTCGAGATCGGACTCGGCGATTGGCTTTTCGGTCGAGGAGTCGTAACAGGAGTAGGTGTAGTAGACCTCAACGTCGTTTTAGGAGTCAGCGTGCGCACGCTTGTTTTCACTTCTGCTAGAGGTTTGGCAGTCGTCCTGACGGAACCCAGAGGACGAGTCGTAGCAGTCTGAGACGTCAAGCGCTTAGGGGCGGAAGTCGGGCGCCTATCATTCAATGCACGCGGAGTCGAGAATTTGTCTTGCGGTTTATCAAACATCAAGAAGCACAGTGAGTGTAAAAGGGGGGAAGTATGAGGTTCGGAAAAGGTTACAATCTAAAAAGTATATCACGGGGATTTTGTGGGGGGGGACGGAGTTCAAGGGTAGAGGGTAAATCTATGCGGGTATTAAGGATAGAGGCAAAAAACTGCCTTAATGCAGAGATGAAAGCGTTGGACCGCCCATGGTTAGACGGTTCGGTTGGACGAAACCTAAAAGCAACGTCCGAGTGCAGTTTGTTGTTTTGTCGGTGACAAAGAGTGGAGGGTCGTCCCGGTTGCTTTTTGCGTTGAGGGAGGACCAAGCGACCAAAGTAACGGTCTGGTAGATGAAATCAGATGAAAAACAGATGAGAAAGTGTAATGAGCAAAAGGCCACCAGAGGGGCTTTCTTGTAATAAAGCCGTTGGTTGTCGCACACACTGGGCGCAGATGGAGGGCTTAGCAAACGGGACTTTTTGAAAAACGGCCGTCCCAAAAAAAAGCTTTTTTGCCAAGCAAACGAACAAACGACGACAACGATAACGACGACGACGACGACGACGACGACGAGGATGATGATGGGGATAGCAGACTGTTGTCTAGAGTCATATTCCAACGATAGCTTCTGAGGTGTTATTTTCAATGGAATTGGCAATTTCCAATGGCTTCTTGAACAGTCGTCTTGTCACGTGTGCCAAAGCGAGGCTTTCCTGGGAGGCAATTCTTTGTTTTCCAATCGCAATCGTTCAAAGGAACTGCTGAATGCGTCCATTGCAAGTGCTTTATCCGCTACGGTTTCTATCAGACATGGCATGGCGTTGCAGCGGAACGAGCAACGCCCAACTCGTATCAAACTTGAAAAGTGATCTACTTTTGAGCTTGCTGTCCAAGAAACGGGGGACTAGATTGACCATACTCTATACCAGACGCAGGGCTCATTGCCCATCCCCGAGTAGAAAGTGTAAATGCTTTTGAGAGCAACATTTGGTTGAAAAGAATTGAATAGTAGAGCACTGTTGAACAGGCAATGATGGCGGTCGATCGTGGACACTATGCGGCGATTAATCCGTATCAGGACAGCCCACAAGTGATTGGACATGGTGAGCGGTCGCTGATTGCATAACGCCATGCGTTTTCACTAGACCATCCTTGTGTGTGGGATTAAAGGAGCTACCATCAGTGCACCGCATATGCATGCATATGCATTGGAAGCATTAGAGCCTTTTCTTAAACCAGGATCTCGTGCTCTTGGTAAGCGATTCATTCCAGCCATAATCCACCATTCGCAGCCCTCAAAGGAAGGAATGTCCCAGATGTCGGCAGTGGCTCGGGCTATCTTGTCGCTTGCATGGTACAATAGCACTCTAAACCACGTTTGCTCTATTCAAACTCTGAGAATGAACACAATCTGCAAAAGGCACACATGGTTGGACCAACCGGCAAAGTCGTCGGGATTGAGCATATCCCGGAACTTGTATGTCTGGACACCAACCCCAAAGTCATCCATGAAGCTGATTTTTAGATTTCTATTGGCTAGTCGGCGTTGGGTAAAAAGAACATTGAAAGGGATCAGCCTGACTATCTCAAAGGTGGTCAAGTGGAGCTCGTTGGTCTGTATCTTGTGAGCTGTAGTCTGTAGTGCTCTGTTGCGTTTACTCAGTAGGATCCCTAGTTGGCGACGGACGAGAAGGCCACGCTGCCCAAGGTCCTTACGACGCCATCCACGTTGGTAAGGATCAAGAAAAGCAAACTTTGTCGTGCGGATACATCGTCTTCATCACCAACTTGGCGTTTTGTTTCTTGAATCTCAGGTGCTGCCGCGTATCCCGTCCCGGACAAGGTACATGACTGTTACCGTAGGAAACCCACAAAATTCCTTCAGTTAACACTACATTTCCCAGCTGATTGCGCAGCTGAAAGCCCCTGGGCGTATGGTCATCCCGGTCGGCCCAAGCTTTGGCGAACAAGCGCTCTATCAATATGATAAGGACTCGGAGGGGAATGTGAAAAAGAAGGAATTGATGGGGGTCATGTATGTCCCATTAACGAGTAAAGAAAATCAGCTAGGCCCTGGGTAAAGATATTGTACTAGCCCTTGGTTTTTTGAATGCATTCAATGAAGCTATGAAGATCGTTACTTTTTGCAAAACCATTTGATGGTAAAAATATCACACAAACTACAGCCTGGCAGATCTTCTTGCAAGCCCTGCTCGTGTGATGATTCCCTGGACACGTGTGCGGTTATGGAGGTTTTCAATAGTCATCTTGTCATGATCTGTGGCGTGTGAATCAACAACCACTGGCTTCCATCGTCAGCAGAAAGCAAACGGAGGTCTAGCGCAAAACCAAACTATGGACCAGGATGCCAACGAGACATTCCAGGCTGCACTAAAGACGGCTCCATGGGCACCATTTCAGCTTCCTACTGCAGACGGCACAATCCTCCAGACTTTCATAAAAGCCGTCTTTAAAGATCAAGGCTACGCAATCCTTGTTTCTGATTTCAAAAGAGTCTGGCTCGAAATAGCCACTGACGAAAAAGTAGAAAGAAAGTTAAAGGTATGAAAACGTGTCGGCTTGAGATCACCGTTGCACTAGCCAACAACAAGGTAACGTTTTGACATAGTCTTATGCCAAAAACTTTAGCGAAACACCAGTGTCCGGTATGCTCCCATATATTGAAAGCTATGTGCATAGCCAAAAGCCAAATGTTCGGTATATGAGCTTTTTCGAGCCCGACGAAACGGGTGAGGTGAGGTAGGAAACCTTATCCCGCAACGAAAATAATACTGGGCTGCAAATCTCATTATTGAGAAACGATAGCTGAGGATCCACGCAACGGGAACTGTAGGAACTGTCACCTTCAGATGGGTGTTTGAATGTGCCCAGCTTCATACGGATGTTTTACCGCCACGTCCGGTTCCCGGAGATGTTCTTTACTCTCATCTGTCCGTACCGCTTCTTATGGTGGTTATGGAGCAAGATCGCCGGATACAAAAACTTTTAACCCTTTTGGGAGTAAAAGAACGTGAATTGCACGAGTGTCATGACACAATGACCTTTAATGGTCTGAAATTTCCACCCAGTATGTGCAAGGCCTTCGGCACCGCGATTACCAAAGTGATGGCTAACGGCCTGTTTATAGAGCGCTCGGATCCTATTACGGCAGAGGCGTTTTCAAGTGTGGCCGATGAGGTACTTTTGTGCCCGAATCGTCTGAGCAGCTGTTCATCTCCTGACTTTTGGGCTCCACAAGGAATTCAGATCGATGCATGTCACAAAAGAATCGCTGCCTAAAGCCTTTCTCGAAAATCAGCTATACAGACTGGTATTGGGCAAGTCAGACAATGCGACTGCGGTTGCTAAAGGTAAAAAAGGACGCAATTTCGAGCATTTGGTCCGTCATTTTTGATTTTCGCTCACTATTTCAAACCGAAAAGATACGAGGTCCATATCACCGCCTGCCAACCTTGAAAGGGTCCCAACTTTGCCTGCCGGACCCATTACCTCTTCCGGGATATTTGCAAGCTTGGACGGATCGTCACCTACGGGTCCCGACGACGCGTCGTCATCTGTAAGTAGCCAAATTACCTTACCTGGCTGACAGCCGTTTACATTTTAAAACACAGCAGGCACCATCAAAGAAGGAGATTGAAAAGTCATTGGAGATGCAACGGAGACAGGAACGAGAAGAACGGTTACAGAAATTGCAAGCTGAGCAACAACAAAAGAAGAAACGGCGTAAAATCTTGTAATAATTGATCTGAACCTACAAAATCGTGCGTCTCCCAAATAGAATGAGTTGGGCCAAAAGTTCCAAAGTGTGTTTAGAGTGTGTATTCAAACAATGCGACTCTCGTATATGTTGATCATAAGTCGTTGGATTCATTGTCTCAACAATGTACGTTGCTCTTCTCTACTTTACATGACATTATCCACACACATTGCACCTAGTATCTCCTGATAAAACGCTCGTTGTTTGCAAACGATACCAACCAAATGTCCGTTCGTGGAGCATCTTAAATCCTCGACTAAAAAGTTCAAAACTCAGTCATGTCACACAAAATGTGGCTGGATGCCGCCACACGTGACCATGAGTCAAATTCCAACTCCGATTTCACGAGAGCCGCTTACTGTAACACCTCCAACAGTGTGCAGCATTTCTATGAGCTTTCTGGCATCTCCGGCCTGCAATATATACGACAATTTAACCTCAACTGAAACCTACGTAAACACACAGCAGAGGAAACAATAATCATTTTGGGCTATGGTAAGTGTATTGTGTGCAAACGACAGTAGGCGTTTAGCGCCCGTGTTTGGCAACAAAATAGACAATAGCGAGCAAAACACGCTGCTGACTTCCGAAAATAGAATCGATAGGCGGAATATACCTTACATGCGCACGGTGTTTTCTGAGTTTTCCTTCTTATTTGAACGATCCTTTCAAAACAAAGCAAACCGATATTCAATATCAGAGCTTGAGTTTCTCGTAACGAGATAGCTTTCACTCTGCAACTCGGTCATAGCAGCTTTCGCAGCTTCCTACATTTGACCAACAGTCGATTCCATTCCTTTGCGATTCCGAAAACGACCTCTGTATCGCTTCGGACCTTTTTCGACGTGTTAGGGGGGGACATAACCTTGCGTTTTTTCCACAAACTGCTCCGTGTCTCGAACGCTAGCATCCGACCGCGCAAACGTCCTGTTTGTTCACTTTGGAACCGTTGCGCATTCGGAGCAGGTATCGAGAATTTTACCTACATCCTCCGGCAACGAACCTACCCTTTTGTCCATTTGAACTGGCTCCGCTAACACCTCGCAGCAATGGGGATCGCTTGTTGCAAGGAGGAAGAAATAGACTTTACTCAAGAAGGTGCGCAACTTGCATTATGCACATGCATGCTGTGTACAATTATTAACATGATGGTATCCACGATGTTCACAGTGGAGTTGAATCACTTTCACCTGCTAAGATCTGTCGGGAAGGGTGCCTTTGGCAAGGTACCGTTTTCCATTACCAGTGTCCCACATTACCGGAACCATTACCCGTCACTCATACCCAAAAATAACTCGTTTGGGAAAAACAGGTCCGCGTCGTTCAACACAAGGGAACTCAACAAATTTATGCCCTAAAATATATCAACAAAGCAAAATGCATAAAGATGCGTGCGGTCGAAAACATTATTCAGGAGCGACGGCTACTAGAAGAAGTCGAATGCCCATTCGTTTGGTACAGACAAGCAATGCGTTCCATGTCATTATCATGCATCTCACCTCTTCTTTCATTATACAGTAATTTACGATACGCATTTCAAGACGACGAGAACCTCTTTATGGTCATTGACCTGATGTTGGGAGGAGACCTTCGGTTCCACCTGGACCGTATGGGAATGATGAAGGAGGATATGATCCGGTTCTATACTGCAGAGGTGGCATGCGGATTAGCGTACCTACATGGTAGAAGAATCGTGCACAGGGATTTAAAGCCAGACAATGGTTTGTAGCTTGGTTGCGTTACAATGTTTTTAGCCGTGGTGTAGGTATTGATCCACTTCTCGATTAAACAGTACTTCTCGACGAAAAAGGACACGCACATTTGACTGACTTTAATATTGCCGTACACTATCGTGAAGAGAAGCCTTTGACGGCTGTAGCGGGGAGTATGGCATACATGGGTAAGTCATTTTGTGCCATCGTTCGCATGTGGAGTCAAATGATAACATTTTCAATCATGCAGCGCCAGAGATTCTGGCAAAAAAAGGTTACTTTTCTTCTGTTGACTGGTGGAGTCTCGGTGTGATGGCCTACGAGCTGGCCTTTGGAAAGGTAACATCCCGTTTCGTTGCTTTTTGCAGTATCTGGACCATAATGACTTACCACTCTCCCTGGAACACTAGCGACCATTCCGAGCAAAGACCAACGAAGCCTTACAGCAGTCCATTTTGCATGATGACCTCGAGTTTCCTTCCAACACGTCGGACCTTGTCAGCTCTGAATGCGTTGATTGTATCAAACTGGTAATACCGAGTTTAAAGCATGTGATTGACCTTGAGGATTCGGGATATTTATCCCACTGTGTGTGTTATTTCAGCTTTTGACCCGTGACATCACAAAAAGATTGGGCACCAAAGAGTCTGGTGGTCTAGACCGATTCCGGGCGCATCCGTGGTTCAAAGGGTACGATTGGGAAATTATTGGAAAAAAGGAGGGAAATCCGCCGTTTACCCCAGATGTGAGTATGCATGCCATTAATCATATGCCTGCTATCCATAAACTTACCGCGTATCCAGTCCAAACGTGCCAACTTTGACGCAACACATGAATTGGAGGAACTGTTACTAGAGGACAATCCACTCAAAGCCAAGCCCCGCAAGAAGAAGAAGGAAGGCGAAGAAGACAAACGTATGTACTCTTCCAACGGTAAAACTCATTCTACCGACCCAAACTCACCTAGAAAAATATATAGCAAAAGAAGGCGAAGACCCAGCGATAACAAAAGAAATGCGAATAATGGAAGATAAATTCACCGTATACGACTACACCAAAACCCGCAAAGGCCTTGGATCCCTTCAAGGCAATCAACCCGGCTCCCAGTCCAGCATGACTGCCGTCCAAAAGATACCGAATGCAGCCCCGTGCACTACAGGCAGAGCTGACCGACAAGACTATTCAATTCACAAGGATGTGATGGAGGGTCGGGATGCGGAAGTGAATATGACGGGTGTGGCGTCGATGGAGAGTTCGCCAAACAAGTCGCGGAGGGAGAGTGAGAAACCTCAATTGGATCCTCCCCCTGTTCCGTCACCAATAATGGAGAGACCGTAGAATGAAAGCTAATCATACTTTTTTGGTGGGAAGGAAATAGTTTTTTGGAAAGCTGTTGTGTCTTTCTCCTCTCTGCTGTGTTTTTTTGGAGGCAAGGCGGATGGAGGGAAGGAGGGAAGGGAGCGAGAAAGAGAAACGGCACATGTAGGTTGTTGCCAGTTCCCGCCGGAACCTCGTCGACTTGTTTATTTCCCGCCCTTTATTGTTGTGTTCTTCTTCTGTGTTTCTTTTTGGGGTGGGAGAGGGAAAGTGTTTGGCTTTTTTTTTTGGGTTAGCCGGTACTGTTTTTTTGCATGTGATATCACACATGGTTACCCCGATTAGCGGCATCTTGACTGTAGCAATCCACTTCAGACCTTTGAAAGAAAGGTTTTAATCGATGTTAAAAGTATTTGCGTGTGTGAACCGACAGTCCCTCTCAAGTATTTGTGCTAATTCACAAAACCAATTCATTAAGTTTCACAATGCAGAAATGTACATGTGATGACCGTGAGGCAACATGCAGAGCCCTTCCTATGCATTTGTGCATAATATGTAAACTACCGCGCGAAATCTGCTGGTAACACCTCCTCCTCCGCCTCCGACATATCCTCTTCATCTTCCTCATCTTCCTCGGTGTCCAAGCCACTATCCGTCAACACAATGTCCTCCTTCCTCTTCAACATCCGAGTCTGTCCCAAAAAGGACAATGTGACTGTACATGGCCCCTTTTGCAACCACGGTTCGCCGTCGACTTGCATGGCCACTTCCGATGCATCAATCTCAATTTTCACAGATTTGGCTTGACCGAGGACTGCAGGAGAGGATAATCCCACCACGCTGGCACCCAGGTGTAACGGTGATGCCACAGCCAACACTTCCAGTTTTCCATCATTGAACCGGGACAGGGGGTATCCTTCCGCTTCGGCTGCTGCATAAATCTTGCCTCCCCCGCCGTATGAAGGGATGTTGAGGATAATGAGTGCACCCATGTCAGTCAAATCAATGGATTCAGTGCTCGAGTCGAGATAGAGACTGGACGCGGAGAGGGGTTCATGAGCACCTGGTGAGGGCATGGGTGCATCTTCTCTTTGGCGGTCCGTGGGCGAGTTTTCGTCATCAAGGACGGAAGCAGACGGCTGGACGTTGCGGACAATGCCCAGTAGGGAAAGAATGTTTTTAAATTGGTGTTTTCCTCCAAATAGGGCGTACCAGACTTTGTTTAACAGTCTAAAGTATCCACGTCAGAATAGGGTAGTGAAAAGCAACCATATGCCCGTATTACCTGTTGCGAAAAAACTGGGGCTGTCGCAATCGGGTGATGTGAAAATCTATATAGCATTTAGTGAGCTCAAAATGAAAGGATACTGCCTTATGAATTCATTCGCACCTAGAGCTACAAATGAAAGAGACAAGGTGAGCATCACAAAATCATACACATACGACATACGACCCAAAGGCAAAAGACTCACCAACAGAAGCATCCGTCCCAACGCTAAAATAGTTATTCATGACCATCATTTTCGGCTCCTTCTTGGAAGTGAGATACAAAGCACGTCCCACTTTTTCAGTAGATGATAAGGGAAATTCCTTTTCTGTAATCGTCACTGTCCACCGATCCAATTCAACTTCACGCGCACTATCCACATCTCGTACGATATCCCGAACTTCTTCTCCAGCCCATCCGCCACCCCATCCGAGCACACGGGCAAGGTCGTTTCCTGTTCCGAGGGGCTACAGGCATAATCAGTACATGTAGTGCATGTGAAAAACTCATGTGCGCACATACCAAAACTCCGACAGGCGGTTTCTTCTTCCCAGGTGGTACGACCTTGTCCAGAATGGAGATGACCCATTGAATGGTACCGTCCCCGCCGCAAACCAGAACCCTACACCGATCAATGACAGGCTCAAAGGCTCTTATCAATGCTTCGGGATTTTCTCGTGACGTATCCACGACCTAGCCAACATGATGCTTTAATTGCCACCATGGGCCTATTTCTTGCCATGTGAAGCATACCTGAACTGGATTCAGTAAGGCAAAGAGACCCCGAAGCAATGCAGCAGAGTTTTGCGCCCCCGACGCAGGATTTACGATACACAGCAACGGTCTGGATCCCTCATCTGGCAATCGAGTCACACTGAACCGCGGGTCACTTTTTTGAGTTGATCCTCTGGAGGCTTTCGAAATCCGTGTGACGAGGTCCGGGGGAACAACGAGATCGGGAAATGGTCCCAGAGGACATTTGGTTCTATACTGTGTGAAACAGGTTGTATGGACTGTCACGTCGCACCAGATGCATCGCATGTCTTTTAGGGTTGGCTCGCTTCCCGCTGATGCATAGCATACTTGACATCGGGCTCCCAATGACAGATTTCCTTCGACCCATTGATGAGCATAGTCTCCTGGTGGTGATGGTAATTCTTGGCTATCTGCTCGCGTACAGTCCTCATTGGATCCTGTGGAATGGATCGAGTCTTTGCTGTGTTGTCGTTTGACGCCCAGAATGCTAGGTAACGCTGTTGTTGTGTACAATCGCTTGCACGGCTAGAGTTGCAAAAATGAGTTAAATCATGCTACAGTAATAATGGCATGCAACGGAACGCACCATGTCTTCCACAAGATTGTGATGTTCCTTGTGCGCACACCGTCGGCACACCAGGCATGTAATACCTTGAACCACCAACCCGCTACACGCCTACAAAGTCGTCAGTTGCTGGTGCTACTCAAAATTCTCTTTGAACCTCTTCTTACATTACAATAAGCCGGTCCCTGTCCATGGTCCAGCAACAGCATATCCCCTCTCACCCACACATGTTCGAAATTTCGTTGTTTGGCGGACGCCGTCCATCGCGCTGTCGCAGGGGTATACGAAGATATTTTGGGAAAATATAAATAGACAAACAAGTAGACACCGGTTGCGATGCCTAGAGAGATGGCCCACAAGGCGCCCGTGTAGCCGACAAGGGAACTAACGCTTGTAAAGAGGGCCGCGCCAAGTGTTCGCACGGCTGAGAGGATATTGAAACATGCGGCGAGGAGGTCAATGAATATGGAGAATATCATGGTGAGGATGTTTGGGTGTGTTTGTGTGGAGGAAATATGGAGTATAAATGTCCTTTCATGAGCAATGAACGTTGCGAAATTGTAAGATCTGGGGAAAAGCAAGAGCTGATACGACCGCGACTGTTCAGCGGATTACGCGTTGGTTGGAACATGGTTGGAATGTCGCATGACATCAACGGAGTGTCGTCGCTTTTGGGCATCGCCATTAACAATCGGGTTTTACACACACACACACACACAAACAGTCAAGGGAAAAGATCATGTAGGAGAAGAAAGTAATACGCTCTCGAAGCCGTTTACAGCAAGCCAAGCACACATCTGAGACAAGCTACGTTGGGGACATGTGCTGTTCAAGATCATCATATCTCGGAACGCTACATGCACGCCGTCGCGCAACAGAATGGCCCATGTTAAGCCCACGGTAGGCCCATTGGGTTAAACTTTCATGTTTTAACGTTGTTCAAACATTGGGCTTTCACGAAAGGAACACTTGTCATAGTCGTCTCCTGGTTCAAATGAGGTTCCATCCACTCAGAATGTCCATAAATGCCGTTGCCATAGGCAACAAAATTATAACTCTGATGATAAACTCGCCCTTTGGAAAGCAGCAGCAGCGCTGCGAAGACGCTGTTGGGGAGAAGCTGGCTGATGTGGGTTCGCATCTCTTCTGCATAGTTTTTTCCGTGTTTCCATTTTGCTCTCGATCCGTGCGTCTCGTTACCATCCTATCGAATACGTACCTCAGAGTTATCAAAAGAAAGCAAAGTTACTACTCTTTCTGTTGTGGGATTTTCAGTTTTGTGTAAACGAGATTATTGCTGACCCCTGCGATTCTACACCCCCTCCTGCACACACACATACACTCAAAACGCACGCTGATTCGACCTGTCTTACTCGTTTGAACGCTGTAAAACATGACAGAAGCAGACGGACACTTGTCGGACGGTGAGATTGTGGAAGAAGGAGAGATTGTTGACGGAACAGATTCGGTACCCGTGGCGGCATTGGAACACTCGGAAAATGGTCCGATTCGAAACGGGAAGCGGAAGAGCCCTCAGAGTGGACAGAGTGATTGCGAAAGTACTCGGAACGATGATGGGTCTTCCATGGGTTCGCCACCGCCAAAGCTCCGACGGGTGGAGGGCGTGGAAGAAGGGCTTTTAGAAGAGGTAACGTCTCAGGATGTAATGGACACGGCCGATGCCCAAGATCACAGCGAAAGCGTGAAAGGTGATGATAGGGATAAGAGTAAGCACCGTGATAAACATCGTGACAAGAAGAAACGATCGTCAAAGCACAGACATCGATCTTCGTCCCGTCATCGACATCGCGGCAAGTCAAAGGAAAGTCATAAAAGGGACGATCACCGCACTGACCGTCGACATAGGAGCCGTAGTCGTCATCGTCACGGAAGCCGGGATGCGGACCGTAGAGACACCTCTCGACATCGTCACGAGTACATGCCTGACCGACGCATGTCTATCGACAACTCTTCTTATTATGAGCAGGATGACAGGAGATCAGGGCGCTCAGTGGAGCGGTCGAATGGATACCACGGCGACAGATATGATCGATACCGGGACGAAGGTCGTGACGGGCGTGATCGTGGGCGGGACCTTAGTCGAGACGCGATAGATCGAGGCCGACGATCCGATGCCATGTCACCCAGGTCATATGATAAAAGGTCACCGCCCCGTCGGTCGTCTGTTGAACGGGAAGCTAAACGGCGAAAGGCCAGCCCGGAGCCTGCACCAGTTCAAGCCGCAGAGGAGACAGTTGAGTTGGCATTTGGTGAAGATGAAGAGCAGCGGCTCATTGAGGAGCGTCGAAAGAGGAGACAAGCCATATTACAAAAGCATCAATCAGAAGGAAATCTGAGGCATTCCGAAACGCCAACGACACCTAGATCCCCTGCAGCGCGTAAGTTTGATTTTACATACATTGAGTTGTTAACAAAGGAACTTATTCTTTCCACAGCCGTCAGGGCCGAGTCCAAACCCGATATACCACAAGAAGACGACGTTTTCTCCCTCCTAAAAGACGACGAAACATCTTCTAAATCCGATACCCCCGCCGACGACATTTTCGCCGCGGACTACGACCCCAACGCCGATAAACTTGCCGACCAAGTCAAACTCGCTCAGCGAAACCTATCCAAAGCCGCCAAGAATGAGTTGTTGCATACCAAGGATGCGCGGGAACGATTAAAGGATGATGGGGAAGATGCTTTTGCGGCTGATTATCGTGAAACGGGGGAAGAGACAAAGGAGCCTGATGTGGATGACATGTTTGCTGTGGATGATATGTTTGCGCCTGAAGATGAGTTTAAGAAGAAGAAGGAAAATGCGCATGTGAGGCTTTATGACTTTATCGTAGCTGGGAACAATGAATTCTAATTCTTCTTTATCTTAGATTCTCGAATCGGCTCCTGTTATGCGATCTTCGGATAACCCTGCCCTAACCGACAACTGGGACGATCACGAAGGATACTACCGTAAGTTGCATCCTGGAATTACGTACGATGTCAAATATATAACACTCCCTCTTAGGTGTTATTCTCGGTGAAGTTCTTGATGATCGATATCATGTCTACAGCATTCTTGGTAAAGGTGTCTTTTCGTCTGTGGTCAAAGCCCAAGACACGAAAAGTGGTGACGCGGACGTGGCCATCAAACTGATTCGGAATAACGATACCATGTGAGCATCTGTGAATTTAGCAATATACAGACAGAAGCTCATGTTATCTGTAGGTATCGAGCAGGTATCAAAGAATTGTCGATACTAAAGAAGCTCATGGCGGCAGATCCAGAGGGTAAAAAACACGTGATACGTTTGATTCGGCATTTTGAACATAAGAATCATTTGTGTTTAGTATTTGAGTCTCTCAGGTAGTGTTTTTGCTCCGCGTCTTTTGGCGATATACCCTCACTTATTATTGTGGTTTCTATAGCATGAACCTGAGAGAGGTCCTGAAAAAATTTGGTAAGGACATTGGACTCAACATCCGGGCGGTCCGGATCTACGCCCAACAACTCTTCCTTGCACTCTCATTACTGAAAAAATGCAATATCCTTCACTCGGATATCAAGCCGGATAACATTCTTGTCACAGATAGCAAGAGTACACTCAAATTGTGTGATTTGGGAAGTGCGAGTGATGTGAGTGAGAATGATGTGACACCGTATCTTGTCAGTCGATTTTATCGGGCACCAGAAATTAGTACGTACCTCTCATTCTTTTTAAGTTTGTTACTTCTGCTTTTGTTGCTAACGCTCCATAGTTTTGGGTCTACCGTACGACTCTGCCCTAGACGTCTGGTCCGTTGGCTGTACCCTGTACGAACTCTACACGGGGAAAATCCTCTTTCCAGGCAAATCCAACAATCAAATGCTCAAACTGGCCATGGACCTCAAAGGCCGTTTTCCCAAGCAAATGCTGCGACGGGGTCAATTCACGCACCAGCATTTTGATGATGATTTGAATTTCATGGAAGTGTCCTTTGATCGAATTTCTGGGAAAGACGTTGTGAAAAAAGTTGTTGTGAATAAGCCTGTGAGGGATTTGAAAGCCCGGTTAATGAGTCGGGTTGCTGAGGGGGATAAGGCCCTTGTTGCGCTTTTTGTGGATTTTTTGGAGAAGGCTTTGATGTTGAATCCTGAGAAACGGTTGACAGTGCGTGAGGCTTTGGGGCATCCGTTTTTGGGAGGGCATGTGTAGTGTGTATATATTATTTTTTTTTTCGTTTTTATTTGAACATAGGTTTGTGGTGTCGTGGGATTGTGTTTGTGTTTTGAGATATCACTTTATTTGTGGTATGGAAGGACGGGAATCCCATTGGCGAGTTTTCTATGCGTATGGTCCAATCATTGCGGTATGCAAGCGTAATTGTGCATGTTCTCGAATCAATGGTCCTGGGGGCTTTGTGACGTACTGCGCTAAAAAGGAAAAAGATGTGTCCTATGCAATCGGATCGGGTCGTATATATTAATAGGGTGGACAGGTATACAAAAAGCAAAAAGAAAAATATAATGTGTACCACAAAATACAGTCCATCATTAAACTATCATCTTCCACGCTTAACCTGCTTAATCCATCCCATCTCAACAAAAAAATCATAAATTCGACTTGTCTTATTGACATCAATTTTAATCAACTCGCGACACTGTCGACGACGTAGTGACCCCGTTTTTGCGTATTCTTTTAGAATTGTTTCTTTGATGACGAGGTAGGATTTGGGGAAGAGGCGGAGGTGGGTGCAGAGTTGTTGTTCGGTAGGTGTGAGAAGGTCTAGCCCTTCTGCATGGGAAATGTCGAGTGGTGCGGCGGGTTTGCGTGCGAGGGTGGTGGGTGTGGGTGTGGGTGGGGGTTTGGTGATGGGTGTGCGGGGGAGAGGGGTTTCGTCGCGGTGGCGGTTGGAGAAGCGGGCAGCGGTGAGGCGCGGGACGTCACGATCGCGTTTGTCGCGTTCAAAAGGTTCAATGTCTCGGCGGGAGGTGAGGCCCATTCGACGATATTCTTGGAGTTGGGCGATTTCGTCGCGGAGTTTCATTTCGTCTATAATGAGTGGTGTTAGCATTGATGATTACCATGGCATATACAATAGGATGGACGTTGCCGCGCGCATACGTACTGAGTAGCCCAGCCATGAGATCTTCAAAATCCTGCTTGGTCTGCATTTTTGAAAAGACGCGCATACGCTGATAAACTTCCTTTTCCTCCTTGGACCGTTTCTTTTCAAGTTGCTGAAGTTTACGAAAGTCTGTCAATTCCCGCTCAAACACAAACTGCTTCCGTTCGGCCCGCCGATCGAGTGCAGCATTGTAAATCCCAAACATGGCCATTTTGAGTGCGGTGTCCTGTTGCGTGTCCGTTTCAAGGAATTCAAGGTCTTTGATAAGTTGCTCTGCGTCGTTTTCGCATTCGATTTCGAATTCGCGCCGGCCGGGCATGTAGCCGTGGATCTCGTGGTTCCCGGGAACGCTGGAAGGTGGGCGCTCGGTTTTGGGGATTTTTTTCGGCGGGCCTCTGTTGTGCGACAGACGTTTTGTGTGATCTAGCTGAACCGACATATTCTGTTCAGAGTGAGATGTGCATTTGTGAGTGAGTGAACTCTGGGCGATCATCGAATCGCACACAAATACGTGCTCGCCGCACGGCAGCAGGCATAGCCAGAGCTGTACAAGCGCTACTCACAGGGATAGGAAAAGTATCACTCTTGAGATAGACCCTCTCATAATGACCAGCGCACTCTCGTCTATTCTTTGTCCCAATTTGCTCGGCCACCTGTTCCCAGTTCCCGAGCCCGTACTGTTCAATGGCTGTCACCAATTTAAGCTCTTCGTCTGCGCCCCAGTCTGCTTCAAAGATGGGAAAATCAAGCATTTCCTAAATGATGGTTAAAACATATGCATATTTGTAACGGCCGCTCAGAAGAGCATACCATGACACGATAGCTGTGGTTCGCCAAGTGCGACGATCCAGGTGGCTCGGCACCATGGCCAAAACAAGCGACGCACAAGTCAAAATCGGGACATTCGGCGCAGCGTATGCGAACAAGGTTGCTAATATCCTTTGTGCATGCGTCGCAGTGAAACTGTTGGCCAAATTCCTTTTCCACTACAAGTGTGTTTTGCTTCCAACGTTAGATTCATCATGTCTCGGGTCAAAAGTCAAAGGTACACATACCCTGTCTCGCCACAGAGTCTTCCTCTGTTCCCTTGTCTCTGTCCTCTCCCAATGTCCTCATGGTTCAACCTCAAGCACACTCATGTGTGTCTATGGATGGAGGCGGAAAGCAAGAGATGGAATGCAGTGGATGACCTCTGCAGATGTGTCAGCATGAATGTCATGTGACTCATGTCCACGTGATGCTCATCAGAGAGGATCTTTTTCTAAGGCAAATACGACGGCCTTTTTCATGCCATCGCATGGCTTGTGTTCAAGTAGCACATCTGGATTGGGGGGTAGGACTGAATAAGAGTTTTGTATTGCTGATGCTTTTGTCAAAATCAAGATTCCTTCCATGTCCTGCATTGTGAGAAACCAACATGGGCGATCAACCATCTTGTAATCCAGTCGAGAGTCAATGGATACTCACAGGAGAACTCGGCCCACCTCAAATTGCCTACTGAAATAGCGCATTGAACATTGTTCCGTCCTATGGACGACCATCGGACCAGGAGATGTTGTCCGAATACAATGCCTGGTCATGTGACTGCTAGTCAATACACAGCCTCGTCGCAGCGATGCGCCGACAGCACACACACAACTTGTCACTGCCCATGCATGCAGGTTCACCACCAGCCCCCCGCCAGATGCTTTGCATACGGTGCTCCCGATAGCCTATTGAGTATGCAATTAAGATCCACACTTGGTTTTTTGGGAAGATTCAGCGTAGTGTGCAATAGAACACTCCTCCATTCGATACCATCCTTTGCCTGTGTATCTGATGCATATAAACGAAAATCACCTTTTTGCATAGCCCCCCATCGTTTATCATCATCATTGTGAAGCATCGTTCCAAAACGTCTCCCCATTCTGCCGTTCGAACGTGGTGTGGAATTCCCTTGCCATGGGGAGATCGTCCACCCAAAGGGCGTTGCTCAGCCCAATCATCTCTCCATATATGGCTATATTACCAATGCACAGCAATCTCTCTCCTTGACTCTGCCACCTCATATAGCCATATATGGAACAGATTGCACAGTTTGTCCGATTCGGACAGCCACAAGGCACAAGAAAAACGACGACGACGACGGGGGAGGAAGGGGCGAAGTCAAAAGGGAGGCTTTGCGCCATTGCACCCAGGATTTTTTATAAAGGACGGGACGGGTCGGCTTTTCTTTGGTTTTTTTAACGCACGACTCGAGAACAGGTTTATCTTTTTTTTTTGCACGTCACTGGCTGACGCTCAAACGGCATACATACACATAACAAGGGCTCAGCCATTCATACCCACGGAACGACCGTTCAACAGACATGGTCAAGATTGCGGCTCTCTTACTTGTGTTGACGGCGTCGCTGGTGGCCGCTCAAGACCAGCGCCCGCCGAGAAACGGGGAAGGAGGGAACCAACGCTCTCCTCAACGAAGTGAAAACGGTGGTGGCAGCAGAAATGGTGGTGGCGGTGGAAATAATCGAAACACTGAAGGCCCAGAGCCAAAACTCTCGGGTCTCGGTCAGTGCACCAACCCCATCGTTCGAAAAGAGTTTCGAGAGCTTACGGAACAAGAGCGTCAGGAATACATTGAAGCAACTCTCTGTCTCCGCGACCCGGTCCGATCGCCCTCGCGTCTCCCAGGGACCGGAAGTCCCTCTCTTTGGGACGACCTTGTCTATGTCCACTGGCAAGCGACACCCCAGTCCCACGGAACTGCCTCCTTTTTGCCCTGGCACAGGCGATTCCTCGGAGTCTACGAATGGCTCTTGAGGTCAAATTGCGGCTACAGAGGTGCTCTTGTTTACTGGGACTGGTCCTACGACTCACAAGCTCCCGAACGCTCAGAAATCTTTTCACCCCAGTACTTTGGCGGCAACGGTGACCCTTCCAACAATTGGTGCCTTCGTGACGGTCACTACAAGGACTGGAAAGCCGTCTTTCCTCCGGAACGTCCTCGCCCTTGCATCTCGCGCAACTGGCGCGGCCCCAACCGGCTGCCAGCTCTCCTTTCCGACATTGAAATTGAAGAAATCCTTGAAAGTTCCAAGGATTCCTACAACTCCTTTAGGGAGAATGTTGAAGGTCTTCCCCATGACCAAGTCCACGTCTCAATTGGTGGGGACATGTCCTCCACATCCAGTTCCACCAACGACCCAGTCTTTTTCTTGCACCACTGCAACATTGACCGTCTTTGGGACAAATGGCAGCGTGAAAATCCCGAATTGGCCAACACCTTTGAAGGCCCTCGTGACCGAAGCGCTCCCGAAGACTTGAACGCCCTCGACACGGACCCAATGGAAATGATCCGTCTCTACCCCGACGCCCCCGTCCGTGACATGTTTTCTACGACCGCGGGCGACATTTTCTGCTACACGTACTCCAACAGCATTGTCCCCAACTCTGTTTCACCCGGCCAAGCCCGCGTGTCACGGCCCAGTCGCCGCAGCCTTGCCGAAGGCTTCCGTGCATGGCGCAACGAGCGTATCGCAAACTTCAACGCTTATTCATACGCTTCCTACCAATCCGCTACAGGTGACTCCCAACGCGGTTCCCCCAATAACCCCAAAACGCCCGACGTCTACGACCGTACGGACCTGTACAATATCCGCTACCATGAACCCATTCCCGATGACTTTTTACGTGTCCAAATGGGCTACCCCGAATCCCGTGTCCAGGAAATCCGGAACCAAGAAGCTTATTTCACCGAATTTGTCGATTACGTCAATATGGCATCTGGCTGGATTTCTCATACCGCCTTGGTGTACATTGAACAAAAGACGGGATGGCGTGCATGTTCAGATGAAGAGTCGCAGTTGAACACCATGTTGCGCAAAATGTTTTGTCAGAGCATTCATAACGTGTTGGGCAAGCTGCATGTTAAGGCCAAGGATGTTGTCAAGGTGTTGGACACTATTGGTGATGTTGTTAGGAATGGTGGGCGTGGCCGTGGATCGCAACAGTATCCTCAGCAATACCCTCAACAGTATCCTCAGCAGTACCCTCAGCACGGGGGTAGCGGATACCCACCTCAAAGTCCAAACTACCCTGCCTTACACCCGAGCTTTTATTCGAGTGAGGCGACGCACTGGTAAATGATGGTTCTGATTCGCAAAAGGAGGCTGTATTCGCGGAGATGGCGCTCGGGATGGGAACGTACATTCGATTGTTGATGTGTGTATATATGTACGTAAGGACGTTGTAAAAGTGGATGATATATTTTTGTTTTTCGAATACATGGAAGAGTTTCTTCAGTACAATGGGTTGTTTTTTTTGCTGCCAATGTTTTCTGTGGATGAATGAAAGGATTTGAGGACTTGGAAAAAGAATGAAGGGACATTGCAATTTCATGTCCAGATGCATTCGGATTTTGCGTTGCGTTGCATATCTCTCTCAAGCGATCAAGACTGCTCAATCAATTCAAAGCTGCGCTGGTTTATTTCCGAGATTTCGGCCAAGAGTAGGGACTGTGGGTTTGTTGAGAGGTGTGTTTGATTTCCTCTACAAAAAAAGTCCAGTAGACGCAGTCTTTTGATGGAAAGGATACCGAGTTCTGAGTAGATTTTTCGTCCGCGGATGGGTACTCCACTAGAAAGGCATCGTACACTTCTGTAAAGTTTTAATGTAGGAGCTTTCTCGCTTGTGGTCAGAAAGATCAGTTACGCTCGTTTTATTTCCTTCACACTGTGCAATAAAAGTAGCTAGATCACGCAAGATTCGTTGTCGGATGCTTTCTAACTATGGTAAAGGCCCACAGTACTGCCACATAATATTTGCAATCAAACTCCCCACTCTGCACTGAATGGCAAATCGTCCATACGAAGCATGGTACAGCAAGAAACCTGATATCAGCCACCTACGCGTATGGAGATGCATCGCATACCGCATGCGTCCATATTCCGAAAGAAGTCAGGGAAAAAGGTAAACTTGGCCCACATGGTCGAAAAGTTCCCTTTGTAGGCTATGACGGCGGCGTGAAAGGTTATGGCATGTGGGACTGCATCTCCAACAAGATTTAAACCACATGAGATATCAAATTCGACGAAACTCGCACCCACCACCACCTTCCCCACCCCGTCAAAACCTCCTGTCATCCGTTGCTGAACTAAGAGGGGGACAACAAGACATTTGGCTCCACGATCAGCCCATCACTTTTTCAATAATTGCCTGAAAATCTTCCCGCACTGGCCACTGAAGAACCTGATGATTTCATTTTCGAGAAATACATCCATTTCGACGCAACGCCTGGCGAATGGGCAGGCTTAACTCTGCTGCCGTACACTGTCATAGATGTAGTCTCGTTCAAGTCCGAGTTCAGAAAAGCTGTGACAACGTCAACTTGATGAACTTTAAAAGCTTTGCTGGCTGCGTAAGCGAAAAGAGTCTGAACGCTGGTCATCCTGGCAGCAGCGATCAACAACTCTTGCTTTGAAGGGTTGAATTGAAAAGTCTGCGTTCCGCTTGACCTTGTAAACCAGTCAACAGGAGATGGGATTTTCTACCTTGAGCTTATTTTCATCGACAAGTTCCCATGCTTTATTGTCTTCAGCGCCTGAAATTCAGCGAGTGTGGCCTGTTTCCATTCACCGGCGTGTGGATCTTGTTTCCGGGTCAGACGAAACGAGGTTGTGCGTTCCGCGTCTGAAAGATCCGAGGCTGGTTGGTGGGTTAGCAGATCAGGATGAACGTTCGCAAGTACATGTCGCTGAGCTTGATTGTTTGGGATGGAATGCCAACCCAATGAGGTTCATATCGTTCATCTTGGGTTTTCATGTTAACACAGCAAAGAACACCACCTTCACACTTGTGATGACATAAGCAGATCATAAGCCAGGGGGCGACGCACAATTTTCGGACAGCCCTTCCTGCAGGGCAACCGCTTTTTGCAAGGGGACGGACCTTGCGCGCGGGCTTGTTTTTTCGCTGTCGATTTGAGTTTGCCAAACGACCATTGTCGTTTCTTTCCCGCCCTTGTCTAGTTTTTTGGTGGAAATCCGTGTGTTTTGAATAAATAATCGGCGGGCTTCTCCTTTGTCCTCCTTATCCTTTCGAACCATGGAAGGCCCACACGTGCCCCTCAAACCCCGTAAATCCATATCCTTCCCAATTTTGACCTCGTCGTCGGCTCCTTCCGCACCGATGCCCCCGCCACGTTCAGGACGTAAAGGATTCCTACGGTCTTTTGCGTCCTTGCTGGATTTAAGGCCCTTCAAACATGTTGGAGTTGCCTCAGCGCCGTCACCACAACCACCCGCTGGAGCGCCGCCACCGTTACCCCCGAAAGAACACCCTCCCAAACATCGCCTCCGCACCATGCTCAGCACGCCCATGCTCAATAAATTTCGTTCCCCCAAACCCGCCCCTACGCACCATATAGACCCGTCGCCTCCAATCCGCACCAAAATGTCGCTTGACCTGGATCGCCGAATGGCGTGGAAAGTACTACGAGATGTACCAATGATTGAGACAGTACAGGAAACTGAGGAGGAAGATGAAGAATTGCCGGATTTTGAAGACATGATTCGAGGAGATGCGACTATCAAGGTTTGTTTAACGCCAGAAGAGTTGGATGGTGTACCTGTGGCTGCCTGTTGAATAGTCATGGCATACGCTGTTGGTTGTAAATTGGACGAGGACGGGTACATATCCATTATCAAACAACCAGATGGATATTGTGAAACCTCGAGAAAGAGTCTGGGGACGTAATATGGTGGAAGGTGTTGCAAACCTCTGCTGAGAGCTTGCATGCACTCATCGTCTTGATGGACGGGATACCCGCGATACGTACCATTTTTATGACACTACTTGTTAGATCTGTTTAATGTATGATGATTAGACATTGATTAGAGTATGTAGAAATCCGTTTTGTAGTTTTTTAGTGGTATAATTGTTGGTAATGTTTTAATAAGTCGTCGTAGTTGTCTTGACCTTTGTCCATCGTCGTCGTTTCTCCAGCAGTTCTACACGTGACTTTGAGCCGTGATGGCTTAGTAGACAAAGGGAATTGCTTTGACAAGCGCGGAGTCGACGTTTGGTTTTTTGTTTTGCGAACGTTCGGCATTCGTTTTCCATGCATTCCAGTCGCACCATGCCGCGCGTGAAGCGCCTTGTGCTCACTCTCTACCGGTTCCTTCACCGACATCGTCTCCCACTCCTTCTCGCCGTCTTCCTTCCCCCGCTCCTCCTCTACCCTCTTCTTGTGAGCGCACGAGGCAGTCCCGCACTCGTTCCGCATGAGCTACGCACGGCGCAACGGCCGTTACTGGTGGTTGCGCATCCTGATGACGAGTGTTTGTTTTTTTCGCCAACAATGAATGCGTTGGGTGGTGTAAAGGGGATTTTGGTGCTTTCCACTGGTATGTTTGTGTTTGGTGTTTTGCTTTTTGCTGTAGTTGTGGGTGCTGATATTTTTCTGCGCTTTGGTAGGAAATAATTATGGAATTGGGGATACCCGACGACGAGAGTTGATGGGGAGTTGTCGAGAGCTGGGTGTGGATGAGCAGCATTGTACCGTGTTGGATTTACCGTACGTTGATTTGGTTTATCTGTGATTTTCGGTTTTCTTTGTTGAGCTCATGTCATGTATTGTTGCAAGTGATATTCAAGATAATCCACGGGAATGGTGGCCCGCTGATCGGGTTCTTGAAATTGTTACGGAGCATGTTAAAAAGACGAATGCAGATGTGGTGAGTGCAAATGTCCTTTCTGTCCTCATCTCCTTTGCCATATCTGATATTTTCATAGATTGTCACATTCGATTCAGGCGGCACGTCGGGGCACCTTAACCACCGCTCCGTTCACCGTGCCCTCCTAAAATCCCCAATCCCAACTTACAGCACAACCACAATTCCCCTCCTCCGAAAATACAGCTCCATCCTCGACGTGACCCTGACCTCTCTCTCTTTCCTTCCCAATCTCCTCTTTAACAAACCCGTTACGCACCGCGCATTCTTTGTGAATGGTTGGAACGATTACTTGGCTGCACGACGGGCGTTTGGGAGCCATGCGAGTCAATTGAGCTGGGATAGGCATATTTATATGATTTTGGGACGTTACATGTTTTTGAATGATTTAGTCAAGATTGCATAGAGTAGGGGGTTGGGATTCAGGAGATGGCTTTGCGGCGCATTCTTGAGTCAATGCATTATGTCGATGGGAATGGATTCTAGTCGAGTAGAACAGTTCTCCATCACCTATTTATAAATTTCAGAAAATAAGGAAAGAATGCGAGTAGTCGCGGTCATGGCTCTCTGGGGCATTGAACCTCAACTGAATCTTCTGTATCCAAGCCTTGAGTAAACTGCAATGGTATAAACCTCGTATCGCAGCTTACCTGTTCAACTCAAATTCCATCATTGCATTCAAAAAAAAAAGATCCGCCATAGTAGTTCAGTGGGAGTGTGAACGTCTGTCCAACCTTTTCAAAGGTGCACTATGCCTATTGACCGCTGAGTCTCAATGCAACACGATGAATCATATCGTATGAATCGCTCGTCGCGATTCGAAAGGATGATAAACATTTGGAAAATCCATGTCAAGCACAACGAATATAAAAGAACGTTCTGATGAAATGTGGTACTTCCCATTGCATCTAAATGTATTAGATTACACAAATGACTGCTTGTAAAATTCAATACGATCTGCATCTATCGGTTTGCTTGCAAGACGTGCCAATGTTCAAAATTCCCCAATGCATCCTAAAAGGAGATCAACCGTATTCGCTCCATTGTCCTTCAACTGAACCTCTTACCCAAAGTGTAGTAAGTTTGGGAGTATGATGATCATGTCGATCAGCTCAAAACGACACTATCGAGATTGAGACATTTAATGCGATACAGAAGGGTAGTGCTAGCTTAAAGTTCGCTGATGCCTATCCTTCCCGGTAATTATGTTAAGGAGGAAGCATCACAGGTGCTTGGGGGCTACGTAGGGATTCTTGAATTTCCATTTGCAAAGACTATTCTGCTCGGTCTACTAGGTTTTATTTTGAAAAATTAAAAAGATAAACAAAAAGGGACCAGTGGGTCCAGCGGCGTCATATTGGGATCAACCGATGAACCACTGGGGGGCCAATTTAACTCTCGAAAGAGATTTTGGTTATTCACGTCGCGGGTTTACCATCGCAGGATGGAACTAGCGTGAGCTAGCAGCCCGCGCTTTGTGGAGATCGAACTCAGTCCCTTTCGGGAACTGAGAACGAGCGCATTACCCCATAAGCTATCCCCACAAAGTCAAAACAAGCTGCTTTTCAAAAAACTTGAGTATTCGCAAACCGCTTCCGAGGCTTTTAGTTTTGTTTATTTTCAAGTGGGTTGATTGTGCAGTCTGGACTTTGATGCTCTCACGATATGCCCCAACAGAAGTGTGTTTGCTCAACATTTCCAATGTGTGGATGAACAACCTTTGGGCATTTCGCCTTACCTGTTCGTCTCAAGATTAGAGCGTCAAGTCCTATGCATAGCTAGCACCCAAATTAAAAAGGCTCTTTTGATGTGCAAGATAGGTTCTGTGATGCGTGACTCCAAATGAACCTCTTTGCGTGATATTTCACAAACGTCTCTTGGACCTGCTTGTACGTGTATTCATAGAATCCGTTCCTCAAGTCCATTTGAAGAGCATGAACATTATACACATGTTGAGGTCATGCGGAATGCAACTTGGAAAGTCTCCACATTACAACTGAATCTCAGTGCGTTCACTCAACTCTATTATAACCAGTGAAGAAACGACGCTGATGGTCGTCCCACCATGTGAGGAGCTATAAACCTACGTAAACAATGTATCTCGTCGTACGGGACGGATGCAAAGTAAGTCTATCCAGGTTGGTGAAATTGTATCGAAACTGATCATGTGTAGCTGCCACATCTTGTGGAATCCTTGTCGATTGTGTGTTTTATTGCGCCAACCGCTGTTGTAAAAGACTATAAAGGCTACATGTACTGTGGAGTGGAGGGAATAAATGTCGAGTAGAAAACGTCCACGCTGCTACTATTATGTGTTTTGATTGCTTGGCGACTGGTTGGTGAAAAGGTATTTGTAGATGGAATTAGAAAGCTCATCTAACAGTGCCTATCCGGCTCGTTATACGATCAATGCCTGTAATGACCCACGTGCTATAATGAAATCTTTCTCTCTGCTTCCCAGTAGGACTCATTGAGCGCACTGATATCCAACCGTCTTCTCCACGAAGATCATCATGATGTTGAAATACCGGAATAAACAAAGGAAGCGCATGAAGAGCCGCCATAAACAAAACGCCGTACGTTTGTATCCACTAATGCCGATTATACAAGAGCTCTGAGAACATGGGTCGATGATGGCGTTATGTATGTATCCTGCATATTACCATATCTCTCCAGTCATGCGCACGGATAAAGAGCTCGCATTATTGGCTTTCGGCCTCTGCCATGTTCTCACGCGTTTCTGGCCTACGTCAGTTGTGTCCCATGTTCTGTGTCTCAACCAAATAGACTATTCATCGCCTTAATGCCATTTTATCGTGATGTTGCATTATTTTCAGCGCAAGTACGTGTCATAAGAAGGGATTCGACCAGAAATCCCGTTTTTTTGACTTTTCAAATTTCTCGGCGTGCCCCCCAGTGATCCATCGGAATATTGGTGGCCGGTGGACCCACTGGTCTCTTTTTGTTTATGTTTGTATTTTCTTTTTAAAAACTAAAACATCGGAAGCAATTTTGCAATCCTTCAAGTTTTTCAAGGGGCAAATGGCTTTGACTTTGTGGGGATAGCGTATGGGACAATGCGCTCGTTCTCAGTCGCGAAAGGGGCCCAGTTCGATCTCCACAAAGCGCGGCTGCTAGGTACTGGGTACTAGCATCCATCATTGGATGGACTGACTCGCGACGCTGGGTTTAACCCGGCGTGCACCCCCCCCCCCCCAATAAATGTGGTTCGACGGCGCCGTCGCAACAAAAATGTGATGGTGCTGTTGACCCCACTTTTGTTCATCTTTTTTATTTTTTGAAACCTAAAGTGTTAAAAGCGGTTTGCTAACCAAATCCTTCAAGTGCTTCAAAAACTGAAAACTGGGTGTGTCTATAGTATCAAAATGTAGACTCCTGTCCGCAGATTAATGTGACCGGGTAGAAATATCGGTGGGACGCTGGTGGACCCAATGGTCTCTTTTGTTTATCTTTGTATTTTTTTATTTTTTTTTTTTTTGAAAACTAAAGCGTTAGATGCGGTTTGTCAATCCTTCTTCAAGTCCTCAAAAAACCAGTTGGTTCTGACTTTGTGGAGATAGCTTATGGGGTAAAGCGTTCGTTCTCGGTCCCGAAAGGGACTGAGTTCGATCTCCACCATGCGCGGAATATAGTTTCCATCAATAGATGGCGTAACCGCGACGCTGAGCTTGTTCAACAACTCGGGTCCCGAACCCGTACGGACAAAGCTCGGCGTGCCCCCCAGTGTCGCCTTGGTGACTTTACTGGTCCCGTTTTGGTTTTCTTTTTATTTTTTGTAAACTAAAACGCTGGAGATTGTTTATAATTGCTCGTCCCCACAAGGTTGTAAACCTGAATTTGCAACCAACGAGATATCTTTTTCTTATATTCATCATGGAGAACATTATGAAGCATTTTCAATTTACATGGAGTAGAATATAGAGAGATTCTCAATTAACAGTAATATCTAATCTGCGTGGAAGGTTGAAACGAATCGAACAAAAAACCTTGTCTCTATGTCACTCTCTATCCATACCAGCCTTCATCCACTCCGCCACAGTTTGCGACAGCCCTCCCAATCTCTTCCCAGTATCCCGGAAAAGCATCATAAGGATTCGGCATCGGATCGTCTGTCAGGAATATCCACTGATACCCGTCCGCCACGACATCTCGGATGACATTGTCGAGCTCCTCTTTGGACCATGTAGGCGTGGAATGCAGAATCAGACCACATGATGAGGATTGAGCGGGTGGACGGAATTGAGTCCACTCTTTGTAGTTGTTTTCACAGACTATACAGATGGTGCTAATGTCTGGAAGCAGGTAGACAGGGTTGGGAGGTGTACCCGGGTTGATCACCACCACGCCGTCATCCCATAGTTCGCTCGCAAAAGCTTTGTAGGCCCTGTATACGTCGCTTTCCTTTACTCCCGTTGAGCACTCATCCAGAAATACTCCATCCACATCCCACAAAGCCCATTGTTTTATATCCGCCCGCACATCAGACGTATCCCGCTTCCCCCATGCTGTCGAGACATAGCCGATGAGTATGGCGTTGGGATACCTCCGCAGTTGCGTAAGCGCGGCTGCGTAGTTTGTGTCAAGAGCAGTGCCTGGACCGCTGCAGGGATTTATGATGAGTATGTGCGGGATATTTGGGTTGGTTTTAAGTGAGACGTAGACGGGGTTCCAGGCAGTTGGTGTAGGGTAAATATAGAGAGGAAAGATGAGACCGAGCGGCATGGTTTAGATCGACGGTTGGAAATTTAGTAGTTGATAGGCTCCCGCTATGCAAGACGAAATAATCAAGTCAAACGCTTAAAAGTGAATACCAAACAATATTGGTTGTCTCCCGAATGTGTGTATCGTCCAGCAGTGTTGAACAATGATTTGAAGCCCCTAACCTGCTCACAAGACGATCCATGTCAAGTTGCAGCAGCTCACTTTCCGATTTTCATTAACCATGACTTTTTGTGCAGCCGTGGGCCGCCGGAACAGGTTCCGACATTGATACTATTGGCAAATACCCAACGATGAGGGGATGATCCTTTGGATTTGTTTGTTGATATCAACTCCATCCATCAAGCCATAATGATGGCTGGCAACGTATCGCAAATGACATGTATAAACCTCAAAACTTTCAACGTGGCTGTTAACGCTATGGCAGTAAACTCTTGTCTATACAGTCGACAGCATCCAGATGCAATCACAAAATAAAACGTCCAAGAAAAAACTCCGCCCAACTTAAAGTGGATTACGCAATCAAATGCAAATTTCGTCCGTTGATGACTCACAAACTCGACCTTCAAAGCGATCCTCAAAATCGCCCTGCAAGCGTTTATTGTTCCTTTTGGCTTTTCTTCGGAGGTTTTTTGTTTTTGTGTGTTTGTCGTGATATGAGGGTTCAGGGTTTGTGGGTGTGCCATGCTTTCATCAAGGAATATCTCCGAACTACGGAGTGATTCCACTTCACACAAAGGAAGCCTAGATATTCGACCCCCAAATTGTGAGTTTCTTGGCCTTTTTTTTTCTTTGTTTTGCATGACCGACAACCTTGGTTTGTCTGAGCTGACCTCTGGCGTATTGTGTTCTTCTATTTTGAACCCCAATTGAATAGTTTCCGACGCTCGTTCTACAAAGTCTTTACCTTACGCTGCACGCTCCTCTGGTATGTCGCCACTGGGTCACTGAGCCAAAAATTCCCTTCTTAACCACGTCTTCACGTCTTTTTTTGGACAGACTCTTTGAGTCTCAACGACGCCATGGGCATCGGCGACCTCATAACAGCCAAATGTCCTCTGGTACCCAACCACATTCGCCTCTTCCACTCCATTTATCCCGTCCGCGGCAAGAAAATCATACCAAAATCGAATGAATTCAGTCGATTGGTGTTTTATCTTCGATCCAAACCCCACAAGGTGTTCAAAGTAGGACCCCTTCTGGCGGCGCATAACAAAAGTGATATACGGCATCGTCGTTGGGGGTAAGTATTGGCGGATGTGAACTCAATTAGGATGATGGCTCATGGTGTTGTCCAGGCATGTACAGATTAACTTGCAGCTGGCGCGGACGCTCATTGAAGAGTGTCATTCCTTGATTGCGATAGTCGGTCCAGCGGCACTTAGTGTCATCTATTCCATTCTGACATCAACAAACCAGTTGATGGAGGACGCTACGACCGTGGTACGTTTATCACATTGTTTACAAAGCCATGCATCTCGGTCCTCAGTTTCACGATTCTTACCCACACAATCACTCTTTGTATTCAATAGTTTAGGGAGTTCTGCCAGCACTATATGTACCAACCCAACTGCCTTCCCAAAGCCCCCATGCACAACTACCTATTTGATTTGATCATGCACTTTAGCGGCATGTGCCTATTAAAGGACAATGATGAAGGTTTTGTCTACACGTACGTTTTCGAGTGACCTCAAACTCGTTGTGCGCAATCTCTGACATCTCGTTTAGATCCCGCACTTGCGGTCTCGCGGCGCTGGAAGCCGTGATCCATTCCAAAGGCTTTGTAGCGCACCCCCGCTTGAGAGATAACCCCGAAATCGATGGCACAACCATCAAAGGAGGCCCAGAGTACGTGAGGATGATGATGCACGCCATACTGGCCAACATCAACGATCCAACAAAAATACCAACGGACCCGTAGGTTATAATTTTGCCCGATTTATATGCTGGCGTCTGTGTGAACTTATTGGTCCTTTTGTTTAGTAACACCATTACCGAACGCACCGAGAACGACTTTTCAGATCCCGAACAAGTTGCAGGACGTTGTCTAACGCATCTATTCAGTCTAATGGATCTAGAATCCCTCCCTGTTTTCTTGGCGCCGATCGTAAAGTGAGTCAGCGTCTACTCTGCTATCGAAACTTGACATACTCATGAAACCATCCCTAGCATTGTTGATTTCAAGCGTCCATCCAAAGAGTACGCTGTCAACGTTTTCCGAACTATTACCACCTGCACACGAGTGAGTCCTTTTCGATTTCGCACTTTAGTTACCTTTTTTAACATTCGTAACAGCCTGAATACCGGCACGGGATCCTCAAACACTTTACAGACGTCATCAAACAACCTGATGCACACCAAGCCCGTCTTCTTTGTGACCCCTCGGTCAAAGAAACCATGTTTGAAATCATTTGCACCCTCATGGAGCTCGGGTGTGCGACGGGTGGCATGTCGTTTTTGGAGCTCTGTGAAGCTCTTTTGGAACAGTTGCATGCGACGAGAGGAGTGGAGAATGCACAAGGGTTGCAGGATGCTGTTATGAAGTGTTTTGGTATGTTTTGTGTGAATTGCTTTATATGTGATGTTTCATCTAATGTCAATCTTGACTCGATAGCAATTTTGGTAAAGAAAGTCGCTCATCCGCACCAACTTGCTGAAATGCAGCCCTTCTTGGTGAGCAAGCTGGGTATCAGCACTGCAGAAGCCAAGCAAGTCATCGAGCTACTACGGGCGGGAGAAGCGCTACAAGAAGCGAAATTGATTTTGATGCAAGAAACGGTGAAGACGCCTACGCTTACTTCCACGTCGAGTCCTACTGAGAGCGAGGCGTCAGCCGGGGAGGCTAAAGAGCCTGAAAATGTCAAGGCAACCGGCGAAAAGAAATTTGGGGAAAGGCTCGTCGTATGTCTTTCAGAGATTTCTGCTTATCATGATACTCTCTGTGCTCACTTTGAATGTGGTCGTTTAGATACCAGGACAAAAACCTCCCTCCATTCATTCAATGGACGAAAAGCGGGAGCGACATCGTACAGTTCAGCTGGAAGAGCTTATGGCTGGTAAGCACCTTTATTGTTGGAGAAATCGCTTTGTAATGAGAAAGCTCATGTTATTTTGGCATTCCCAGCCGCATACGGATGGTCCACTCCAACGAAATCGGGGAGTGTCTTGGATCTCCACCAGGAGGCATTGGATATTGCCACCAGTGCAGAGTATGCGGAGGTGGACACGGACGAGCTCTTGGCGTCCATTACTCCAGAAAGTCTGGGGATGTAATAAAACGACAAGGGCTCGTTCCTAGTGGGGTTGTCGTGGGCTGTATCGGAAGATCTTGGAGACGCTTTTTTTTTTTACCGAATGTACTTAATTTCTTTATAAAGACGTCGCCGTATGATGATGGTACTGGATCGTATCGAATCTGTAAATGTCCTTGATCATCTTTTGACTTGCGAGACACCCTTGGTACGTCTTCTCCTGGACGAGTGGTCAGACTAAACCCAATAGAAACCACTTATTGTATGACGCGGTATATATTATCTCTACCCAACTCTCAGCATCAAAGTCCCTCGACTGCACTAGCATTCCTCTCCAACTCTTCCTTTGCCCTACGTTTCTCCAATTTCCTCATTCGGCGCTGATAACTACACCCCAGAAAAAAAAGTCAACAAACATACTCCATCGGTTGTGCTCCCCAAAAAAAACCAAAAGAAAAACCTACTCATCATATTGGCACTTCATCCACGCTACACGTTCTTGCTCGCATTTCCAGGGAAGGTAATAGTTCTCTGTCCGGCACTTGTTGAGTTCGGGAAGGAGGTGGGAGCAGTAGTCTCGCCATGCAAGGGGAATTTGGGTTTTTGAGAGCTCTTCTTGAGAAATGTACATTTCTATAATGTCGGGGTGTTGGTTAGTCTTGTGTGCATATGTTCGATGGTGAACAGAGGCGTCCAGGTGTGGGGCCAACATCACAACAGCTCCGCCCAATGTCACAACCCTTCATCCACCATCCCCTCTTCTCCCGACCACACAATACACCTACTGGGCGGCGCCGTATCATCCACGTCGTGGTTCGTCATGTTTTCTGCGCTTGTTGATATCGGGTTTTTACCGAGAATGAGTTCCAGATGCTGCACCCCACGCAAAGGGTCTATTTCAAAGTTAACCCAGCGCTTTGTCCGCGTTCCCCTCCCGTTCGTTCAGTTGTTGGCATGGCAATTGCGCGCCACGACACGTGATGAGATCTGCGTTGGAAGGCAAAGTATTATCATGAACTTTCATTAGGTGTCGTACTTGGAGAGTGCATTAGGGTTTTCTGGCTTTCCAATGTGTTTTCCGAGGGTAAGTATGTCATATTGTAGTGCATCTTGTTGATTGCACTTCTCAAGAAACTCTGTGGAAGCGAGTTTACAAAAGTTTATTCTCTTTTTTTCAAAAGCATATTCTCGCGAAAGTGTCACTGGTCTGCGGATACATCTGCAATGCAAATGCATCTGTAGTGCATCTGCAAAGTAGCTACTATCTTGGCAAGCTGAAATGAAAAAGGTTGCTGCTGTGCTGTGGTTGGAAAACCGCAGGTTGGAGGCAAATGATCGTCTGCTGCCATAAGCCTGGATCAAGTGCATTCGACTGTGGCGAGTCCGCAGCAACTTGAGCGGTGACTCATTTCCAAGACGCACCTCCAACTTTCCGACCCTCCGACTCTTATTCATTGTGAAATGATTTTGGGATAGCACTCTGAAACATGGTATGTTTTTTTTGTGGATTTCTGGTGGAATGGTTATGATCTAGAATATTAATATGGTGTTCCAATAGGCAACAATTAAATTAGGAAGTCTACTTATACGAACATTGGCCAAGCCTCTGGCAAATTCTATCAAAAACCAGGTGTGCAATGAGGTTTCTTTATCTTGCAAGTAGAAGGGATCAAAACAGTACATATGGCTCTAAAACATGTCTCTTTTATCGCTCTTTGAAAGGCAAAGGTATATAACGCGTTCAGCGAAGATCAGTACTGACCTAGGGGAAAACTGAATGCATACCTCGTCTTTACAAAATGCGGTAGACACATCCGAGATTCAAGGAATTTTGCATGGACGTGGCCCAAGTAGGTTTCTCTAAATGGATGCTTTGTATCTCCTTCAGCAACTGAATCTGTGCGGTTTGTCACGTTAGAGAACGCATCAATGGGAGCAAGGGATCAAGATGCGGTATGTGCAATCGATCAACCTTGTTTATTTTACTTTAACAGAAGTTGTCATGCGCCCCATTTAGCTTTCTCGGCTACAAATCCGAACCAATCCGACCCCTCAATGATGCCCGAGCAGTCGAACTCGGCGCCAACTTTATGAGTGAAAGCGTCATCTTCTCGGTGGCCGTCTTAACAATACGTTGGTTGCAATCCTTACGCATCTACGCCTTTTCCAAAGTGCTAATTCTGCATTGATAGTTGGGGAAGCTTACCGATCGAGTCGAAAAACAACTCAGCGTCGGCTAAACGTCGACGAAGCCCTTGAACAGCTCCAAATCGAAACCCAACAGACTCAAGAAACCATCACCCAAATGCAAGAAAATATACAAAAACTCACTACACAGGTGGAGATTCTAACTGTTGAGAATCGACGGCTGGAACGGGGGCTCGATCTCGTTGCAAAGGCTCTGAATGTCAGAATTGAAAAGGAGGAGGCTGCGAAGCAAAGAGGGGGCTGGTGGAATGGGTGGTGGAGCAATGGGAATGGAAATGGAAAACCGGATCAGAATGGAACTGTGAATGCAAAGGCGGGTGAGGGCGGGAGAAGCGTACAATCAACCCAATCATGACGATTCCCCCTTCACATTACTATCCTTAATCAGAGACCTCTTGTTAGATGGGTTGTTTAGAGACTGATTGCTTTCCTCTTTTGGAAGTTCTTGCTATATATATCATCAAACGATAGATCCATGACCTCTTTAACTAACTGTGACGTTCGAATGGAGACACGCTTGAGGATTAAAACATCCTGATAACATCCAGCTCCCGAGTTATGCTCAGAGTCGACTATTGCACATTTAGCGAATGCAAATGTGGAGAGTTCAGTACATTTTCAGTTGTCCATTTGTCCATTGGCAGTCACCTTTTACAGTGGACTAAATTTGATTTATAGTTGTTAGGCAGATCCATAAAGGCTTGTGAATGTTGATGTCCATTTGTGCATAGTTGCACCCAGGGGTGCCGACAATCACGTGTTTTCCAGGCAAGGGCATCTGTGCAGACGAGGGAGAAACTTACGAAGAAAACTGTCAAAAGTGCTATACACGTCAACTCGGCTCTCCTGGCGCACAAACCATTTCGTGTTGCTGACCAGCACAACATTATATTTGCTTTCAACATCTTTACAAAAAACTATCAACATATGGATATGACAACACCAAACATGAGTATTGCTGATTACATAGACAGAAAATCCTCAATGGGAATCGAGGTAGGAGATCTACATGATAACGATAGTGTCAAAAACTGTTTACAAGCATTGCTTGCATCATAGAATGTTATACGTGGGAAAGGGCTCTAAATGAAAAAGGCGGCGATACTGGCGGCAGCAGCACCCAGTACGCTCAGAATGGAGGCGACGGGTGCTGCTGCACCGCTAATGGCGCCCGATCCCGTCTTTGAACCGTTCGAGTTACTTCCGCTGGAGCCCTTCTGACCCGTGCCAGTTCCGGTTCCTGTTCCGGTTCCAGTGCCTTTACCGTCTGGTGAAGCAGGCTTGGGAGCGTCCTTGACGGCTGTCTGCGAGCGAGCAAGAGCACTAGCAGGCCAGTATTTCACAGGCTGGTTCTTGTCATCGTAGCACTCAACGGTAACGGATTCAATCTGCGAGACAGCTTCATTGGTCTTTGTCCAGTCGACTTTACCGCCGGCCCATTCGCTGTCGGATTGCCAGATGGAGAATTGGAACATGGAGGGTGTGGTAGGGAACCATTGCTCGCCTGGGGGAACGGCCTTTGACTTTGCGGTCTCTCCGGCAGGAGTTGCAGTGCGGACTGGGACACCGTCGATGGCGAAACTGTGCAAAACGCGCGTTAATATTCAGACATTAAATCTCAAATCTTTTAATTGCAAATTACATACGTGATGCCTGTGGATTTCCAGTCGATCGTGTATTCGTGGAACTTTGTAATGTCTGTCACGTTGTGGACGCCCCCGTGGACTTGGAACTCAACAATAGCCTTGTAAAAGACGTTGGACTGAATGCTGTTGGCATCACCGCCGACCGCTTCCCAATCAATCTCATCACCGCGCTCTGACATGGAGATGAAGGTTGTCACGACACCGGGAACGGCAGCGGCCGTCATTTTGGCCGTCACCTTTCCGTATTTGATCCATTGAGCAAGAGATCCCTTTGTAATGTCGGCGGGAGCGCTAATGTTTGCTGGTTTGGTGAGGGCCAAGGTTGCAACATTGTTGGCTATGCGAAAGTTCTTTTGTCCACCGTTCTGGATGACAAAGTCGTATTTCGAGTAGTCAAAGTTGTCTGGTACTCCGACATGAGGTGTGGCATCAAAGACGCGGTCCTTGTTGGCAAACGTGTATGTTCCCGAGAGACAGTATCCGTCGTTCTTGTCGGGGTTTCCGGTGGGCAAAGTGACGGCGGAAACCGACGTGGCAGCAGCGAGAAGCGAAACGGCAATGGCTGATTTTCGACCCATTTCTGTATAATCTAAATGTCTCTCTGCAAAGTCTAAAAACAAACGTCTAAAAAACCAAGTCTATGAAGATAATCGACGACGACGACGACGACAAACGACGATGGGCAATGCTCTAAATCCTAAAAGCTGAAATCCCAACCCATCCTTTTTATACCCTCCCCCCAATTCACCTGCGTGGGAAAAAAGCGGCCGCGGTGTAGCGCATTGGAAAATGTCGACGAGTGGCGATGCAGTGGGACAAGATGACTGTGCCGCTGCAATAAACCCATAAAAGGAGAGGATTGCTTGCGATGAGAATATTTTTTTCGTGCCGCCCATAAAGAATTTGCAAGTAAATTTTAAATGTTGGCCGCTTTTTGTGGTCCCCGATCGTCTCATGTGGTAAGCACTGCCAAGCCACATACACGTGCTAGTTGTTGCCATGACATTGTCATTTAACTGTATTTGGGTATTATGACTCATGCCCGTCTTGAGCAACTCTTTCCAACGGTTCGTCGTGTTGGTTTCGTTTGTCGTTGATGATGCTTCCTGCCATTGTTCGTCCCATGTTCTCGCGGCCCCTTGCAAAGGGTATCCGTCCAACTCGCGCATTCTCCTCCACGTCGGTTGCATTCAGTTCGTATCTGTTTGTTTACTTTTGCAACAATTCACTGTAAAAACTCATCGTCACTCTTTGTTGTAGGTCAAACCAACTATGAATTCATCCTGACAGAGACAAAGGGCCGTGTTGGAATTGTCACTCTCAACCGCCGAAAGGCCTTGAACGCTCTCTCCACGCCGCTCATGACCGAATTGAACGCGGCTTTGAAAGTCTTTGACAAGGACGAAAACATTGGTGCCATGGTCATCACGGGCAGTGAAAAGGCATTTGCTGGTGCGCGTCTGGGTGCCCTTGGTTAGGGTACGGCTTCTTCAACTCATATTCTCTGTGTTTTAGCGGGTGCGGATATCAAGGAAATGAGCAAATTGAACTTTGTGGACAACTTTAAAAACAACTTTATTGAAGACTGGACTGGTGTCACAAAGATCCGCAAGCCCATTATTGCGGCTGTCAATGGATTTGCTGTAGGGTTTCCGCTATGATTGAACCTGCAACTCATACGAGCTCATGCTGACCGCCTTTTTTTGATTTTCAGTTGGGTGGTGGATGCGAGCTGGCCATGATGGTATGGTGTTGTCAAGCCTTGTTTCCTGTTTGGCACAATTCACTCAATGGCCTTTCAATTAGTGCGACATTATCTACGCTGGCGAAGGAGCGACATTTGGCCAACCTGAAATCAAGCTCGGTATTATTCCCGGTGCCGGTGGTACACAGCGTCTCACCCAAGCCGTTGGCAAAGCCAAGGCCATGCACCTTAATTTGACCGGCGATTTCATTTCGGCTGCCGAGGCCGAGAAGGCTGGATTGGTAGCAAAGATATACCCTGCTGATCAACTTGTCGCGGAGGCCATCAAGAATGCTGAAAAGATTGCCTCGTACTCTCTTCCGAGTGTATTGATGGCCAAGGAACTTGTGAACAAGTGTAAGTGAACCTCATCGAGTACGTTCCTGTAGAATGTGTGCTAATGCGTTTGTGACATGTAGCATTCGAGCTCCCATTGTCGGAAGGTTTGCATCTCGAACGGAGATTGTTCCACAGCTTGTTTGCAACGGTAACGTACACTTGTCAACATTCATTTTCTGACACCATGTAGCGACTCACACACCTTTGATGAAATTTTAGGAGGACCAAAAGGAGGGTATGAACGCTTTTGCCGAAAAGCGTGCCCCCAATTTCAAGCACAAATAAATACCAACCAGTCTATGGGCATACTTTGCTCTTTTCACTATAATAAACAAGAGTATTTTCATCTCACTTTAAACTTGATGGATTCAGGATTGCACTCCTTTGCTTCACAATATCAAAATCCTGACAGCGCACCGGTTTTTCATAAAACCTCAACCGATTCCAATCCTCTAAATTGAGCTCCAGAGACCCCATCGTCAACCTAGGGGCATCCGGACCGTTTGCAAACGGATCGTCCGAAATATGGGGATATGGTATGGATATAGTATCCATTTCCAAATTCTTTGGTTTGAATTCCTCTGCATTCATTTTGGTGTCCCGTGCATCCAGCCACGCCTGGCTCACACTTTTTTTGGCCCGCGGTATCCCTTTTGAAGCAGGTTCAGGACCAGACGTGGTGCTCATGATGGGTTCACTGGCGGCCTGTTCCATCCTTGCAATTTGATCTGATTGGGTCCGAGATTTGCTGTGTTGGTGAACCCAATGGGTATTGATTGGTGTAAGGTTGTTGTATTGTGTTGTATTACGGTCAATGTTCAGTGACTAAACAGGTGCCGGTATTAGCTTTACGCTCAACATCTCTTCAACCCAAACCATCTTACCTGAGCAGTTACCCGAGTTTGCACCCTTCTCACGGCTTCCCTATCCTTGATCATCAACTCAGCCACAGCTTGTACAGGATCAAATCTATCTTGTTTAACTTTATCGATTCTATTTTGAATGAATTTTGAAGAATTTGCAGTCGGTCTATCCAAATTCGTCGGCACAATGTTTGGTTGCGTGATTGGTATTTGACGATCCTCCGTCTTGCGCCTAAGGTGGTAGTCTTTCGGACGCATGAGCTTTGGATTGGATGGCGGGAGAGCAAGTTTAAGACGGAGATGAGGGTCTACGATTAGGCTGGGATCCAGTGGAGGAGTCCGGGCTGGTTTAATGGATTTCGTTTCTTCATCTGGATGGGGAACAGGAATGGGCGGCTTTTGAGGGGTGATATCTTCCTCATTTACGATGGGATCTTCTTCCTCCTCTTTGTGGGAAAACCCACGGGAAGGCTGCCGACTATCTTCATAATGGTCAGTTCTCGGTTACGAGTGTCTTGTTGGTCCACAGGTGATGTTACCTCACATACTCCTTGTAACCTTCCTCCACCAGCGTACTACTTTCTAGAACGTGTGGATACGCCACCGGTTGGGGTGGGTCCTTGTTCACGGCGTGTTCCTCCTCCAGATCATTTCGACTGTGCGGTTTGGTAGCAAGAGAAGTCTTCGAATGTGCAGGGATGGAGACAGGGATGCCACTCGTTGCATGGCGGGTCTGAACAGATTTTCGCTTGAGGGTTTTTGGATGTGTTGAAGTATTTGTGGGGATGAACGTTAAAGTCATTGTAATCGTCCTTTCTGGTGATTTGGAGAAGGAAAGCAACCAAACGCCAGGTGAAAAGCGCGTTGGGATATCCCAATCTGCCAAGCCACATCATCATGGAGGTTTGGATTAGATGACAGAAACCTTTAGACTTTAGATCCCTCGCCCACAGAATGCCTCCATTAAAACCCCTCCTCCGTCTTAACCGCCCACGGGTCGCCTTTCCCAATGCACACCTCCCTCACCGAACATTCCTCACTGCACCTCCCTCAACCCACCACGAAAAACATCATCTCGGTTATACTCCCAAACAGCTCTACGCACTTGTATCCAACATCAACTCCTACCATCTCTTTGTACCGTGGTGTGCACACTCGCAAGTCCTTTCACACAAGAAACTCAATGGAAAAGATGTTTTGAAAGCAGAGTTGGGCGTTGGGTTTAGGGCTTTTAGTGAAAACTATGTCAGTGAGGTTACGTGTGTTCCATATGAGCGGGTCCAGGTTAGTTTGTCCCTCCCGCATCTCCCTCAAAGGAAATTAGAAATACTAAAGCGAAATGCGACAATGGTTTAGGCTGTAGCCTCAAACTCGACCCTCTTCCGTACGCTTATTACAACCTGGAAATTCGCACCAGGGACACCAACCAACACAACCCCAGATTCCCCAACGACCCTTGTAGATTTTTCTATTGCCTTTCAATTTAAAAGCCCGCTGTATGCCCATCTATCGAACCTATTTTTTGAAGAGGTTAGTAAAGTCATGGTGGGGGCTTTTGAGGAGCGAGCGAGAAAGGTTTATGGGCCTCCGGCGATAGTTCGACGGGTGGGAGACAGGCGGTAGATGAGTGGTTCGCCGCACTTGGCAATATAGAGAACATAGGATTAGATCGTAGTGATTAATCTACATTTGATATTCATTAGCGTTAATTTACTGACTGTCCCGGAATCTTACTGAAAAATAAACAAATTGTAAGAGTTCACACACTCTGTATAAATGTCACCTCTATAAAAAAAAACGTACAAACGCGTATCTACATTCCATCCTACAACTTTTGCAGCCCTTCAATAACCTCCGCCAATTTTTTCTTGTAGTCTAAAAGTTTGTCCACGACCACTTTCACTACCTCAGCGTCCGCCTTCTCTGTCTTTAGTTTCCTCACTTCATCACCCGCAAGCTTTATCTGCTCCTCCAACTCCACAATCTCCGGTGTCTTGACTACCCCCGCTGGCGCCTCGCTAAGCCCTGCCGCAGCAGCCTTGGCTTTCGCTGCCTTTCTTTTCGACGTCTTTGAAACACCGGCGTCGCTATCTGCCTGGTTGCCCCCGTACTTTCTGCGCCATTCATCTGCCTTTTCGGGTTTGATGATCGAAAAGAGATACTCTGCCTCTCCAATGACATGTCCTGCTTCAATGTCTTTCCCTGACCATGTATCCGTAATTTTGCGTGTGGGGAGCCGAAGTTGTTTGAAGATGCTTTCAGAGGTTGTGGGCATGTAGGGGTAAATGAGTGCTGCGATGAGATAGGCCAGGTTGGCCGCGACGCTAATGACCGTGTCGCATCGTTCACGTGCGTTGGCGAAAAGCTTGTTGTCGATGCGATTGTCTTGAAGGTAGAGGTTTCCGCGTGCAGAGATATCCATAGCCAGTTTGAGACCTAGCCGGAGCTTCACGCCTTCGAGAGCTTCGTTGTACTGTTTCAACAGCCCGTTGACGTCATCGATCAGTTTTGCTTCTACTTCGTCCGTGACAGAATAAGATGGAATCGTCCGTTCGTACTTTGCGTTCAAAAACTTCACAACTCGATTGACAAAGTTGCCAAGGTTGGCCAACAGCTCGTTGTTATTGCAAGCAACAAATCCGCTCCAGGTGAATTGCGAGTCTCCGGTTTCAGGTCGGTTGGAAAGAAGGTAGTACCGCCATACAGCAACTGAGACGCCGACTTCCACTACATGATTGCCAAAAACGCCAATGCCCCGAGATTTTGAGAATTTGCCGCCTTCATATTGCAGATATTCTAACATGATCTAGGTATCAGTATCCGACGTTTTTAAGCCATGCGATGGACATTCTACCAACATACCTGTCGTGTTAATGTGATGCAAAAGAGTCCAATCCTCCCCGGTACCCAATAGCGTTGACGGAAACACTACGGTATGGAACGGTACATTATCCTTGCCCATGAACTGGAAAAGCTCAACGTGCTCAGGATTCTTCCACCATTTCTCCCAGTCGTCTGTGTAATTAGCCGTAATGGATGGGTATCTACGAATCATGTGTCAAATTCCTATCATGAACGAAACTTTGATTGATATGCCAAGCATACCCGATGCAAGCGTCAAACCACACGTAAAACACCTTCTCTCTGAACCCATCCTTGGGAACCGGAACTCCCCACTTGAGGTCACGGGTAATACAGCGTTCTTTTAGCCCTTCCTTAAGCCACGCCTTTGTGATGTTGATTGTGTTTTGCGACCACAGTCCTAAAGGCGAGTATCGATATAAAGCAGTTTCAGGGTTCTTGCAATGCACAATCTACGTACCATGCACGCTAGACTTCTCTACCCACTTTTCAAGTTCAGCTTGCGACTTGCCCAAATCCAAGAAGATATGTGCCGTTTCTCTCGGTACAGGCGTCGTTTTGTCAAGTTTGCAGTGCGGGTTGATCAATTCGGTCGGATCCAGAAGCTTTCCACACTCGTCGCATTGATCACCGCGGGCATCCTATGTACATGTAAGCGCACATGTAAACGCAAGTTCGAGAAGAATCTCGAAAACAGTCAATCTGACGAACCTTGTATTTGCAGTTTGGGCAAGTTCCTTCAACAAACCGATCTGCCAGGAATCTGTACAGTAAACCAGTTCAGAATCATATCCACCAATTTTTGCAATACTTTTAACCTACGAATTGTGATGATTGCAGTACAACTGCGTCATGGTTCTCTCCACCGTTAGGCCCTTTACGTCAATAGCATTGAAAATCTTTTGTGTGATCCTGAACAGGAGAAATCAGTCCATGTAATTCTTTGGCATAATTCAAGGAGAGCGGTATTTACTGTGTATGCTTTTCGGTAGGCGTCCGTCCAAAGTAGTCAAAGTCACACGAGAACCACTCGTAGGTCTTTTTATGTATTGTGTGATATTTATCGCAGAGCTCTTGGCAGGACACACCCTCCTCCAAAGCCTTTGTCTCTGTCGCTGTTCCGTACTCGTCCGTTCCGCAAATGTAGAGTGTGTTATAACCCCGCAGTCGACAGTATCTGGCATGACAAATGAGCAATGGTAATGAAAGTGAGCAAGCATTATAAAGCCCTACCGTGCAAACACATCGGCACTGAGAACGCAGCCGATAATGTTGCCCAAGTGGGGCACGTTATTCACATAAGGTAGCGCGCTGGTGATGAGGACATTGCGCTGGTCGGGTTTGGGCAACCTGGAAGATACTAAGTATGAATAAAATGAAACCACATATAATCTCTTGCACAGAGCAACTTACACGAGACTTTCATGGTGCTTGAGTTCAATGGTAACGTCGTTGTTCACCCTTGGCAGCGGCCCGCCATCCTTCACCCCGTCAGTACTCATGATCGTTGGCCAAAAACTGAGGAATCTCAAACAACAAACAAGTGCCCAAAAGTCAAAACCTCAGTCACGTGATCAGTATGAGTCACATCTTGAGTCAAGGGAATCATCGCTGATCCTTTTGGAAACGTTCAACCTTTTTCGGTGGGGACATTTTCTGTTTGTTTTCCGCAAGATTGGGCACTTTTTATTACTTTGAGCAGTGAAACGAGAAGCGGGGTTATTGCATTTAAGGATTTCCAACGAGTAACAAAATGTCAAAATATTTGAGAAGCACGTTCATTGAGGCGAACAAAGAAGGTAAACAATGATCATTTGTGCCTTGTGTTCTGCCGATGTGGACCGAGAAAGGGGGCATTTTGTGCATACATGCTGGCTGCGCCGACAATTAGCATTCTGCCCGGATTTCGCTCGGTGAGTCTGGGTAAAGTCAGAGATCTGACTAGCATTCGCTTCACTCCCGTTCTAGGTCGTCCCGCATTTGTCGCCTATGTCACTGCAGGCTACCCAGAGGTGACGGATACGGTCGACGTCCTCTTGGGTCTGCAAGAAGGTGGTGCGGACATTATCGAACTAGGTATGGCCTACATGTGGTCAATAGGTTCCTGGTCAACCGCTTATTCGTTTCAATAGGCGTACCATTCTCCGATCCCATGGCCGATGGACCAACAATCCAAGAGTCGAGTTTCGTAAGTTGTGAGATCCTGGGATTCTATTCTGTCCAGTAGACATTGATCCCCATTTTCAATCCCTACCAGGTTGCCCTCAACAACGGTGTGGATATTCTGCAATGTTTGAAATACGTTGAGCAAGCCCGATCAAGAGGGCTCCGGGTGCCGGTTGTTTTCATGGGATATTACAATCCCTTCTTAATTTATGGAGAGAAGAAGCTGATGCAAGACTGCGTTCGTGCTGGAGTGAATGGTTTCATTGTTGTGGATCTACCCCCCGAAGAGGCCGTGCGGTTCCGAGATCTTTGCACTGAATATGGGTACGGCCTTTTATTGCCTAATTTGTGTACAAAAATGCTCATGTGCGATCCGTACCTACTTAGTTTGAGCTATGTCCCTCTAATTGCCCCATCAACCACCGACAACCGCATTCAGCTCTTGGCGCGTGTTGCTGACAGTTTCATTTACGTTGTCAGTACGCTGGGGGTCACGGGAGCGCGCGACTCGGTCAGTGTAGAGCTGCCCAATCTGTTGCAGCGAATCAAAAAGTACACGTCTTTGCCTCTCGCTGTTGGCTTTGGTGTTGCGACACCTGAGCACTTTCGCGAAGTCGGTGCACAAGCAGAGGGCGTCGTTATAGGGTCAAAGATTATCTCCACACTCAAGCAGTCGGGTTGGTGCATATATATTAGTTGCGTGTTTGGCCGAATTACAGACTAAAAGGCTGGCGTCGATTACAGAAAAGGGCCACCGTGGACATAGTGTACGGGAGTTTGCCTCCAACATTACCGGACGGACCGTACTGAGACCAGGTAAAATTTCCAGTTGCTGTCCGAAACCGCTCTGATGACTTCGACTAATGAATGCCGCAATCTTGTAGAAGAACCAAAAGAAGCACCAGAGAACGGGGCCGCACCAACTAACGGATTGGAAAAGCCTGCTGTCACGGTATATCATCCTAAATGATCTGTATATAACTTGTACTCTTTTTAACGGGGCGCTCTATTGTAGGCTACGCCGCACGCGATTGCAGCTCGATTTGGTGATTTTGGCGGTCAGTACGCCCCTGAGGCACTTGTAGATTGCTTGGATGAGATCGAACAGGTAATAATTACCGACCGCACATTACGCTGATAAGAACGTGATGCCAACAGGATACCTCTCCTTCTCAGGCCTTCGTTGAAGCGAAAAATGACCCCGCTTTCTGGGATGAGTTCAGGTCACATTACTCCTACATGGGCCGTCCCTCACCATTACACGTCGCAGAGCGTCTTACGGCTGATGCAGGTGCGTTTATTTCTTGTAACATTCGATGGAAAGATCGATTGACACCAATTCTCTGTTTAGGTGGCGCGCGCATCTGGTTGAAGCGAGAGGACTTGAACCACACTGGTTCACACAAAATCAACAATGCAATGGGACAAGTCCTACTCGCCAAGCGCTTGGGAAAGAAGCGCATCATTGCCGAGACTGGAGCTGGACAACATGGTGTGGCGACCGCTACGGTTTGCGCCAAGTTTGGACTGGATTGCACGGTTTATATGGGAGCAGAGGACGTACGAAGACAGGCGTTGAACGTATTCCGTATGAAACTGTTGGGTGCCAAAGTCGTTGCCGTTGATTCAGGTACATTATGATTTACTGTAAATGTGCACACACAGCTACTCATTCTGTGTCGACTAGGATCACGTACTCTGAAGGACGCCATCAACGAAGCCTTGCGCGACTGGGTGACAAACGTGAAGACTACACATTACCTGATTGGGTCCGCCATTGGTCCTCACCCCTTCCCGACCATCGTGCGTGAATTCCAATCTGTTATCGGTCGGGAATCCCGTGCCGAACTGCTGGCTATGCGTTCCAAGCTCCCTGATGCTGTCATTGCTTGTGTTGGAGGTGGATCAAACGCCATTGGCATGTTCCACCCTTTTGTTGACGATAAGTCAGTCCGTATTATTGGTGTCGAGGCTGGAGGAGACGGTAAGATTCTCATCTTTGAATTTCTGTATTCTTTTTCGCCATTGTTAAATCAGTATCACTCAATCGTAGGTGTGGAAACCGGCCGTCATTCAGCCACCCTTGCTGCCGGTAAGCCTGGTGTCCTGCACGGTACGCGGACATATCTGATCCAGGATGCCAACGGGCAGATTATCGAAACCCACAGCATTAGCGCGGTTAGTATCGTTGCGGATGTGATCATCTTTTGATGATGGATCGTTAGCTAACAAGGCAGATTCATGCCAATAGGGATTAGATTACCCTGGTGTCGGTCCTGAGCATGCTTGGTTGAAGGACACCAATCGCGCCGAATACGTCGCTGCCACTGATGCGCAGGCTATGATAGGTTTCAGGAAGCTCTCTCAACTAGAGGGTGAGCAAACAAAAGTTTGTTAACTGACCCGCTACCTGGTTGCTGATGCTGGTGGTTTATAGGAATTATACCGGCATTGGAATCGTCTCATGCTATCTATCAGGCAATTGAGGTCGCCAAGAGTCTACCCAAGGACAAGGATATTATTGTCTGCTTGAGTGGACGTGGAGACAAGGATGTCTTGTCCGTTGCTGAGGCACTACCAAAGTTGGGTCCCAAAATTGGCTGGTGCGTGTACTTTTTCTTCCATAAATTATCCAAATTGTACGTTCAGCTCACCCTGTTTGATCTTGTCCCAGGGATCTGCGATTTGAGGGAGGACATGGCGCCATGAAACCAAAGGAAGAAGCCTAAAGTTCTCAAGTACCCTCAGAATCTGCAATTTGTAAAACTGGTCACGTTCACACATTTAGAGAGAGTATCATATTTACTATTCCACTATTCACATCGTTCATGTACAAAATGGCCGTATGGCCATACCTCTTCTCTATGGCTGGGAGTATCATCTTCCAGTGCTGTAATACTAATCCAGTATGAATGTAAGGGGAATAGAGGGTTGTGTACCTCATGTCAAACTTACTTCATTGAAACTTAGTCGGACGCTTAGAGCTCGGAGTGTCTCATCAGCATGCTCCGCCAACAGTTCCATAAAATTTGACAGCTCCTCCTACCAAAGGCAATATGCTTTAAAAAGCAACCCGATGTGGTGCGCTGCCTGCTTGAGAACATACCCGGAATCGCTCAGCACCACGGTTCAATTCCGCCCGTATATTCTCTAAAGATTCCGTCCCGTCCTCCTCAGGTAATAAGTCTCCGTCCGCATGTATGTGGGAAATATCAAAACTTCGCTACAAATTTCACCATCCAACAACCTGTCAACTTTCAAAGACGCTAAACAAACAAATATTTGGACCAACCTCCCGAAAGTCCAGATTCGCTCTCTGTTCTTGTCGAGCGAGCGCAGTCCCATACTTGTGTAAACGCTCCTATAAGAAATCCAGACCGTCAATATTATTGCCTTAAATTGAGACTTTTCTTTCTAATTAGCCATTCACCTGTGCCTCCCGAAACTCCAAGATCACATCAACAATCTTGAACAACGTTGGCGGCTCATCCTAATAAAAACGACACTTAGCTTGCATAAACACAAAAATATTCAGCGCGCCTACTACCTTGTGCTTTCGAGCTCCCAGCATGCTTTTAGATATGATGGTGTTGAGGTATCGTAGGTACCCCCGAATAAGGAGATCCATGTCCGGTTTGCTCGCAATCAGAGTCTTCAGCTCGTCCCATGAACACTCCAAGACCTTGCAAGTACGATCAATTAAGCAAACTTACAAAGCCACCAAATGGAAACAAGA